TTTGTTTTCAAAACATCTATGAACTGTTTTAAACTTTCTACCATCCTAAACTTAAAAATCCTGTTGAAAAGATATTACCTAAACCATATTTATAATGCAGTACATTTCATCTGAAAAATTGTATTATTAGAGAGCTTAAAAGTTTCAAAGCTTCCTCAGGTTTTAAACATAAACTTTGTAAACTGCTGCTTTAGCACGATTTAAATGTAGTCAATTTTAACCCAACTTAAATCCCAAACAATCAAAATTTAGATTTGAAGGATGCTCATTTTTAAAAGATTGTATAATCATTACTTGTTAATTTTCATTTTGGTATGAAATTCCATTTCAATCCTAGTTTGAATTGTAGAAATCATAGTCGTGTGACTATGTTTGCTTTATATACCATGTTTTCATTTAGGAACTTGTCTTTTTCATCTTCAAAGTTGACAAAGACTGGTTTTGTTCCCTCATAATAACTGATCTCCATAATTCAGATCCATGTCTGCGGTAGTCTCCAACAAACATGAGCGCTTTATTAGAAATGTGCTCCAGGATAATGAGATGAGAACTAAAATTTAATCTTCATTTTTCTGAGAATACTTTTCAAATAATAAATAAAATGTATTACTTTTGTTTACTAATTCCATTCTTGTTGTTACTTAAATCTTTCATGACACTAATTGCGATGAGTTAAACATCCAAGATTTTATTAGGTTGATTGCAACTCATTTTCAAGAAAAAAAAGGTGATCTAAAGTACAATATACCCAATAGTTGACTACCCCTGGTATACAGCAATGAAGACAATTTGTTAGATAATTAAGTAATCAATGCTCAGATTTGCACATTTCATTTACTCAAACTTATTTTGAAATGACATTACAGATCATTTGTTAATGTTATCCTGTACTGTTATTCTTGGCCCTCGTCCTGTTTGAAATGTGTTAATTAAACTACTAAGTTATAATTTAAAAATCTGCTAACTTTAAAGTAATATATTTCTCTCATTTAGTTATACCATTGAATGTCTTTCTCCTGTGTTGTCAAGTGATATATTGAAATATATAATATTGATTCAACTTGTATCTATTAATTAATATTTCAGTGGAGAGGGATTTAGACAAGGAATGCGGTCATGATTTTTATCTTCTAATTCTAATCAATGTTAAATTACATTTCTATTTATATTAAAAGTACAGCGCCAAAATTGCTTTTGGAAATGTTGGTTACTACGAGTTTATATTGTAATTCAGTTAATATAAATTCTATATTATTTGAATAATTTTAATTGTAAAATCTCGAAATGGAGACTGATAAAGAGTAAGTGAATTAAATTGTCTCCTGTTGAACTGAGTGCCCCTCAGCTATAGCAATAATGTCACCTTACTAAGTGGTAACCTATCGGGGTTGTGCTTTATTTAAGGCATAGCTACTACGCTAACACTGCCTTCTATTTCACTCTTCTTTTATTACTTTCACAAAAAAGCACAACTTCTTCACCCAAAGTTTGTTATCTACTCCTTTCCAGATCTCTCCGCAGTCTTATTGTTTATCCCAGTCACTTTGTGCTCATGTTATTAAATGTCTAAAATAATTTTTTTTTGTGGTGAAAACTATGTTAAAATTTTACTTACTATCAAATCAAATTGAAGACAAGATAGCCGAGCATGTTGGGGCATGGGTTCCCAAGTATGCCAAATTCTGAACCTTATGGGCTCGATTTCCACCTGGTTCGGTTAATTTTCATTTGTCGGCAGCCCTGGGAAAATGAATTTTGGCCATTCCCACTCTGGTAATTAAGCGACGGCAACCCAAGGTGGCTATCAGGGGTTGGTTAGAAGGACTACGATAGGGCCCACTGGCCAGACTAGTTCCCCCACCAGTTCACAGTACTATCAGATCAATTTTTAATACTTCATTTTCAGACACACAGTCTTGTTAAAACAATTAACTATATTTTCATGATCAAATACAATTAATGACTGTCAAAGAACTTTTTTTTTTACATTTTCCATAATGGTTCCTATTTTCCTATTTAAAATAATATATTAAGTATCAGTATTGTAATAACAAGAACTTAGCAAACCAATTTGATGAGGTTATCAACATGTGCTCTTCGCTGAGTGCCATTAAAACCAAAATTTGCTACTTCAACCTTAACACTGCATTGTCTGCCTTGTATTGCTATTTGTTTATTTTCAAACACTACAGCTTACTTGCCCATTTCAAATGTTTTGATGCAGCATCATTTATAACCTAATTACTTGATAAATGCCCCACAATGCTGTTTTGTAGCCTCCTAATTATTCAAGCAGGTTTATTTTGCTCGAGGCCAAATGTTCTAAGCAAAATTTTGTATATGTAGTAATTGATTTATATAAGTAACAGTAAGAGATTAGTCAGTTCTTACTGTTTGGTTATTATAATACTGTTGGTACATATAGTGTAATGCTGCTGCAATTGAGAAATAAAAGCAATAAATAATTTTTTAAAAATTTTGGTTATTATAGATCTTAGATATTTACTGGTACTGGTACTAAACTGGCACTGAACCCTGACGTCTACTTTGAGTTTGCTGTCCGTTACAAAGAAGTGTCAAGGTTTATATCTTAAGATCCCTGAATAATAAATATTAACTAATCCAGTTAGGAGTTGAACCCACACCATTCCAAACCCGGCACACTGCTTCAACATGTGCCCATTGTGCTTGGCCATCACCGTCTCCACCTCTATAAATTGTATTTCTCTGAATATTCAATTGCTATGACCAAGCATACTGAAAGCTGTATATAGTGGGCTTCTTACCTTTCAAGGAAAAACTTTGTGGATGAGCTTGGTTTTCCTTTTCTTTTGGAAGTGTTCAAACATATTGTATTCCTTTATTCTTAACTGCAATTTTTTTCTTTTGAGCTGATGTAATAATATTTATGGAGAATTTGGTCGGTAGGTGTAGTCGATAGACATTAACTACATATTATAGTATGTGTTTATTGACTACACTAATATAATTATGCATAAAGCTAAATACAACTGGCCATAATTCTAATTTAAGGAACAGTCGGTGATGTGGGGTCATTAGATATATATATCGTATTGTATATATGGTATATACCATATACACAATTGTATATAATTGTGGGGTAATGGTTGATTGTCGTGAATAATGAAGAGAAAAATGGTTGGGGTGATCAATCAGAAATAAGAAGGCAAAAATAAATAATAATAATAATAAGGCAAATGTCAAAATAAAGATTATTATTTATTTTTGCCTTCTTATTTCTGACTGGTCATCCCAACCATTCTTCTCCTTAAATTTAGAATTATGGTCAATTATATCCATACCATTAATAATATTTACTATTCAAATAAAAATCATGATATGAAATTTGATATGTGCTGTTTATATGAGCATCAAAACTTAATCAGTTCAAATGAAAGAAGTATTCCTAAGAATGACCTAAAGGTTACTCTTTGATCTTGTCTTGGTGTCATTGAAGGTCACTTATGTTTGCAAAATGATTCATTAAATCCTGTGAAGAATTTTTGCTTCAACTTTTAGAACAAAGGTTTTGTAGCTACAAAAATTGATTCATCTAATCTTTTACTCGTTAAAAATAAAAGAAAAAGGACTGGGTAGGAAAAATATGACCAGGCTGTTATGTGAAGTAATAAAAACAAATGTTTGTATTCCTTGTCTTAATTATCCCTTACCAGTTAATTAAACAAATAAAATCGTGTATTATTAATGCAAATTTTATCATTTATTAGCAAAAATATTTTAATGGTAAGTAGAGAAAGTCTTTTCATTGAAAGTTTTCTTATAAGCATACATTAAAAAAAAAAAAATTGAAGATTTTAATTAAATAGCATGTTTTTACTATATGTTGTCCAACAATGATCGTTTTGGGAGATTTTTTCACTAAGCGACTTGCTAGGTACATTTTAGTTGTAGCCATGATTATTTGTCATATTATTTTTATGTTTATACCAAATCATCCAACAAAAATCCAAAATACAGTTTGCAATATCTTATAATAAACCAAAATTAATCAAAGCAATTAAATTTAAATTATAATAGAATTCCCTGTCTTATAAATAAAGAATTTTCAATAATAATGTTATTATTATATTATTTTTTGTTAATCAATCAATCTCAAGTTTTTAAAAGTATATAAATATAAATTTATCGGATTTATGAATGAGTTTATGTTTCGATTTTTTTGAAGTGATAACTTCTTTAGGTGCGTTTTGCACTTTTTTTTTGGAGAGTCAATTAGATTGAGCCATCAGATCACCGATGTGTAAATTAATGAATGAACATGAAAATGTTGAAATGAAATGAAAATATATTTTATTAATCATATGGATTAAAATATTAAAATAATTGGCTGTAAATCAAAATTGTATCTCAACATGACGTCGTGTTTGAGAGGCAAAAAGGGAAAAAATACTTCTTTAAAATACTTTTATAAAATACAGGAAAAAATAGTGTCAGAAATCAAATGATAATTGAACGTATGGATTAAAATATCTCAGAAACTAAAAATCGGACCTGTATACTGTAAGCGAGGTAATCGTTCAGCATTTCATCCTCTCTGTAATAGGCTATTAATGAATATTTTTTGTTTATGACATCATTCATGGTTAATGATTAAATTTATGATGTTTATTATTTTTCTATTATGGAAATCATGTTTTGACAACAATATATTATTATTTTAATCTTTTATGACCGTTGAATGCGACCCCTCTCCTCTAGAATAATCATTTGAGAACATATATTGAAGGCTATATTACAAATTCTATTTTATAGTTGATTTTTTTATTTATCTGTACCTTATAATTACACTGTTGGAATAATCATAAGTTCAGTTTTTAGATGAAAAGAACATTCTACTTACCGACATAAATTAAAATTAAGTTATGGTTCAAAATATAATTTAAAAAGTAATAACAATAACAACTTTAATATTTAATTATGTATAACTATGCCTTTAATAATTTTTTAACCTGAAATAGGGTGTCCCTGGAGAAGAGACGGAGCAGCTCGACGGAGAGGGGAGTGGTGGAGGGTGCCCACAGCGTGCGGAGAACCCGCTCGACGCTTTGTTAGACGAACTGCAGTCATTCAGGGGTGTGCGAAGGCTACATTCAGTACCACCACCACCACCCCCTCGCACCTCCTCCAAGTCACCGTCCGAGTCATCATCGGCAGAGAGTGTTGCCTCCCAACCTGCTCCTTCCAGGGCTGAATTGCTTGAGGCTAAACACCGGGAACTGCTCCGTAAACAGCGGGCCCTACAGGAGCAGTACACTCGGCTCCAGAGTCTACAGCAACCACCTGACCTTCTCCAATTAAAAAAAACAGGCTCCGAATCAAACCTTCTTGGCAAGATGGGCCTCACGCTTGCTCCAACTGGCTCCCTGTCCCACCTGGCCCCTGTCACCACCACAGCAACCACAACTACCACAGCAACTACCACCACATCAAAGATTTATGAGACTGACATACTATAGTGTGTATATGTGTGTGTGTGTGTGTGTGTGTGGCATCGAGCTCTACCTCCTTTATACAACTATCATACTCAGGCCCCTTTGAGCATTTTTTATAATTTTTTAAATTTTAATTGGATCTAATTTTACATCTGTTGAACAGAGATATTGAGTATTAGTAAGGTACGAATTATTTTAAAATTCTTAGGCAGTTATAAAATAAATGAATATCTGCTTGGAATTAAGACTCGGTCTGGAGACCAGTTGTGGGTTGCACTTACCTGCCACTTTAGTTGTGTGATCAGAGACTTCCGATCTTCTCACTCGTGAAATAAGCGATGAGGAACATATAGATAGAGCTGTGTGAAACTTTCTCTATCTCATTTATAACTGAAGTATAAATGACTGTAAAAGATAAGTTTTCCCCAATAATTATTTCACCAGGGAAATAACCACATAAATTAATCAGTTCCCCCCACCCCACCTCTCATTTTCTATGTAAACTTTATTTAGTAATATTTACTACTTAAGATGATTAACTTGTGAAAAAAGTTAGAAATAAAAACGTTTTATACCTCTTTGTAGCATTATATATAAATTTATTGAAATATCTTGAAAGAATGTTAATACTTTCTGCCTAATTGATAAGTATTATTTGTTAGAATGTAGTCACACAACAACAAAGCCATTAAACTTTGTTAATATTGGCAGGATAGTGTCCATTTAATTAAAGTGTTGTACAACACCTCCCTTTACCACTTCCCAGGAAAAAAAAAAAAAAAAAAAAAAAAAAAAAGATGCTCAAAGATGTCTAATATACACTATGTGTTGGGCCGATTAATAATATTTATATGAAAATAATAATAAATAATAATGATTGCTCAACTATGTTCCCTTACCCACTTTATACATATGTTATATATATAAATGAAATAAGAGCACATGTTTATATCGGTGCAACAGAGAACTACAAACAAAAGCACTGGCAGAAGTTATCAAGTATTTTAATCTCTATCGGTATTATTATCTAGCATATTGTACATAGAGGACAAAAAGTCAACCAATTGTCAATTAACCACATTAAATGGATTTCCTCCTCTGTTTATTATTTATTATTATTGTTGTTATAATTATATAGGGCACTGCCTTAAACAGTGTTAGTTGTCTTTTGCTTCATTTAGATGCAATAATGGCTATGTATATGTATATATTAGTACATATATATACATGTAATTTATAATGCCCCATAAATATATTTATATATATAATACCTACCAAAAAAATAAATGTTATTAATATAAATTATAAGGAGTAAGTCAATCAGTTTTTTTTAATTTGTTTTTTAAACAAACACCATTATACTAAGTGTGTTGTATATTGATTATCGATAAATAAATAAATACGTTTTACTCACATATATATCATTTGATTTTTTATTTCCAATATTTTTGTATGTAATAGAAAATTAAAAATTCAAAGAATTGCTCTTAGGGAGACAGAAACATAATTAAAAAATGTTACAGAATGATTTATTATCAAAGACAAACCTTCATAGAATAAATAACGTATCATTTCTAATGAAATAATTGGATGGATTTTGTATATGTCAACAATTAAAAAGTAACAAAGTTTACAGCAATTTTCTTTATTAATTAATAACAATCAGCTAACAAACATAGTAAACAAGACAGTATAAAATTGGTATTCATTTTACAAAATACTTTTCTCTTCTTTACTGACATTTGTTTTTATTTTGGAAGTCCTTGGCCCTCTCAATTTTCTGTGAATAAAAATAATTAGACATTAGGTAATATATAAACTGATGATCTAAAACATCGTAGAGAACAAAATAAAATATATTCACCAGGTTTGGTATTATCCAATTGAGCGCATGAAGAAAAATGTACATAAGTGATGTCACAAGTAAGAAAGGCCACACACCACTCTTCAGGTAACTAGAAAATGTTGGTTATTATAAGTTATACTGAAATAATACCAGCTGCCAACTCTTGGTTAGCTATTCATTCATAGATAATATGTCTCATAAATTTGAATAGTATCATATAATTTAATAATTACTCGATAGAAACAATAGAGAACTGAAGGAATAAATAAAATTAAGGGCACCTCGTGTGAATAAAACCAATTAATTTTTTAGCTGAATTTACATTTTAAAATGTTGGTATTTGTAATTATTCCTTGATCAATAATGATGTATCAACAAATACGGTTAAATATTTCTGGACTAAAATATTTTAAGACAGAATAACAAACAGTAGAAAATAATGTTTTTATTTTATTTATTTAATATAAGTTAATTAAAATTATAATATCTACAGACTATAATGGCAAAAGCCATTTATGATCAGTTTTTATTTATTCAGGCTATCATTAACTATGACATGTTAGCTGTACACCCCTCTCCCCTCCCTATACGTTCATAAGAAAGAGTTGAGTAATTTAGGAAGATATGGGATGTTTAAAAAAACAGCTGGCTGGACTAGTTTAAAAGTAAACATTTTCCTATCAGAGGCCTCTCTCATAAGCCATCTGAAAAATTAATTTTGCTTCATCAATACTTAATGTGTGAATAGTGACTGTGCTTAAGTGTTCTACTAGGATTAATAACAAGTTAAAATATTATTGAACTTTACTTAGCCTGTTGAGAACGGAAATTTAATTGTGGGTAAGAGAGCGCTGCAGTGTAAACGATTATAGTTCGGCAGGTAACATTTTTCCAGTTATAGGCCTTAGCTACAGCTTTGTGGCGCTCAGCAGCTGAAACACCTTTACCTTCTCTGACTAGAGCAATAGCTTTTTCTAAACCTTCACTCAGTTCTGAAATATAATAACATCAGTGTTTTAATTAATTTAAATTGACACATTACACAATTTTTTTTATTCCTATAATTCATTTATGGCAGGATGAATAGAAAAAAAGAACATGATTGATAGGAAGTTCTAGCTAAACCATGTGTAAGACATTAAACAGTTGTTTTGGCCAAGTTGCAAAGTATTTTTAACCAAGTCATTTAGTTGGACTGTTCAATTCTATGCACTTTTTCTAAAAATTTCATCAGGTAACATTTTCACTTTCATCTGCCTGCATATATATGAAATATTAAAGTAAGGGGAAGTATTTTGACTATGGAAAATTTCTAATCCGTTTTCAGCGATTATAGACGTTTTAAGATCCATGGAGTCCAAACAACCAAGGTTGACAAAATGTGATGTGAGTGTAAGCCTTGTCAATGTGTACAGCCTAGCTCAGAAATAAGAAGTCATACAAAACTGTAATTACTATTTAAGGCAGTATATGCTTTTTAGGCAAAATTAACTTACCAGTAGTGGCACTTTATAACATCGATTTTATAGATATTGTAATATAAATTACAGCAATATGAAACTTGCATATCTATATCTATGCAAATAAAATCCCATACTAATAACAAGGTTCCCTACCTGTGTTTATATTATAGACCACTGGTTCTCAATTTTTTTATCTGCAGCAGGCTAAAATAAATACTTGGCATCCTTATAATTAAATAAATAATAATGATATACAATTATAATAGGATGTTTATAGTGAAGGAAATTACGTAAATTTAACTAACAGATTAGACGGGCAAGAAAATGCTACCTACCGCTACATAACACCCATATTACCTTAAAGTCAGGGGAGGGTTTGAAATAAATAAATAAAATAATAGTCAAAGTAGGAGGTAAGTAAAAGTTTTGTGATGCGTACACCACACCGGATTTTTGTCAAATCTAATCTAAAAAACTGTTTTAGAACTTCTTCATACGATTTTTCTTAAAAACAACCTCATTTTGCGCTCTTTACAAGAGCATTTCCAAAACTTTCTATTTTCTTCCATGGTTGTCATCATAATCATGACCACTTGCAAAAAAATGTTTCCAAGGTTAGCCACTTATACACCTATATGTTATAACAATGAGGTCCTCAACAATTGAGAATATAATAAAGTAGCAAGTACTAGTTCACTAAGACATATTGAAAGCACTTAATTATTTCACGCATAAGAAGTAAATTAAAATTTAGTAAAACAAATTTCAAAAACTAAGAGCAACAATTTTGGTAGATAATATTGAATTATATAAACATATTTCCATTTTCTCTCTGTTTCCAATGGTTTCGGACTTGTAAAATGAAATGGCCTAGTCCATAACAAAATTCTAGATAAAAATTGAGCAGTAGGAAATTACTTTTGTAAAATAATTCAAATTTGAAGTACTGTGTTTACTACTTTTCTATATATAAAAAAATATTGTTTTTTTATAGTATTTTTAAAAATTATTGTCTGTTGATAATTTTAACAAGTATTTATTTACATGTTATATGAGCATTTTATTAAGTTTTTAATGTTAAGTGAATTCTGACTGATGGTCCAGACCCAAAATTCAGTTTTAGGAAGTTGGCTAAGTTTTTTCAGATTTAATTGATCTTAAATATGAACAAAACTTCGATGTATAACTTTTTATTAACTTATATCGGCAAATTACACTACAATCAATAATTACTATCTGTAAGAAGACCTATGGTGGTATGCTTTTTTTTTTTTTTTTTTTTTTTTTTTTTTTTATTTGAAACAGTATCAGTATCTTTGTTTTCTATCACATCAGGTTTTTCGAGAACTTGAGATGTGAAGAACAGTAACTCCTCTCCACAAAATCTTTTTCTTTTTATATCACTCATCTACATAATAAGAATATTAAAAAATATATAACACTAGTTAATTATGTATTTGAATAGCCCAGTTACCTCCTTTACTTACTTGACGTTTAATCAGTATTTTAATATGTTTTCGTGCCAATGGTTAAGAAAACAAGAAACAGTTATATATAATTATCAGTCTAATATCAAACTAATTCTATGAAGTGGAGTGGAAAAAATAGCGTTCTCAATAAAATTTTACATTTTTGGCTTTTAAACTACCTCTTAAATACTGAGAAAATAGTTTGAATCCAGAAGTTTCATTTAACTAGATTATATTAAATATAAGTTGTAGAGAGTAAAGGGGAGTTTGTGAATAATGAAGTGCCTTCTTTAACCCCCTAAATGTTTGCTATAGTAGAATGGAAGTTGGAAGGGGTGGACTCTGACCACCAGTCTTTCAGGGACGATAAGGGAATAGTAGAGTATAAGGGACCACTATGCATACCGCCACATATCTTCAGTTTACAGTTAACAGTTAAAAAATATGTGCTGAATATATTATATATATATATATATATATATTTGTAATTTATGTAATACAAATCCACTATAAAACCTTATATTATATTATATTAATTGTAAGAAAACAATTGATTCTATGTACTTTATATATATATATATATATATATATATATATATATATATATATATATATATATATATAATATAATATAAGGTTTTATAGTGGATTTGTATTACATAAATTACAAAAACAACTGTTCACCACTTACTTGCAACAGATGGTTCACAAAGATGTACCAAACGAGGTTCAAGAACTTCAGGTATACCTCCCACTTTGGTACAAACCACTTCAAGTCTACAGGAAAATAATATAAAAAACATGATTCATATTTAATGAAGGTTAATATCAAATCTAAATTAAGTTAAAAAATATATAGATATAACATTGTTAACAGTATCTTATGAGCCATTATTTTTTTATTTAAGTCAATCAAAGCATTTAACCCTAGAATGGCACACTGGAGTGTGATATACCACACCAAAACATTTATAGAAGTAGCTCTTTGGCCAAGTTCTCATGTAAATAAACATCATACATCGCTAATTGGGATCATTAGCGCTTCATTGTTGGGCTCATAACATTATTGGGAGTTACCAAAACTCATTATGGGGTATACCACATCCCAGTGTGCAGTCTATATAACTGTTATGTGAATTTCGTATCTCAGTTTTTCTTTATTATTTTGAAACTTCGAATAATTCAGGCATTGATTACTAATGTTATATTTGTTAATTAGTGGTATTTTCAATTCAGACACTAATGTATAGAAACTATTTTTTTTAGTATGGCAACTACCAAAAAATATTGTATTTTGAAGAAATCCATAAATTGTTAAGGGAGTTAAAAGATAAAGAAAAGATACAAGGAGCATATTAAATAAAGATTGCATGTGTACAAAACTTAAATGTGCCATGTGTATGCAAAAGCAAGAAAAACAAGGAGGTTGTCTCTCCGTTAACCATGCTGATATAAACAGCCTAATATAGTTCAGGTTAGTTAACTGGGAAAAGAAGATGGAATAGAGAAATTATTTATTTGGATTAGGCTATTCGTTACTTGAGCCCTGTTTGAAAGGAAGACTGAGTGGAGACACTCATATGAACGGTGAGTTTCAACATAAAAGACATTATGGGAATAAAAAAAATAAATAAATACTGTTGGAAAAACAAACCTAATATTCGTTTTGCACAAGAGGGAAAGATAGGAAGTCAAAAATGGTTTGTCAGCAATGTAAGAGACTCATCTGCAATGTACACAGGACGACAGTTTGCTTGGATTGTAGTGAGTGAGTGGTTACTTAAATGGCCTCCACTATAGATTTTATTATCTTCTTGTATAAAAAAAAATGTTTCCTTTATTATGAATGTATTTTACATTCCATATACAGGATTTTTCAGGGTTAAGTGGCCAAACTGAAAATATGAACTAAGGACTTCTTCGAAAAAAGAAAAATATTTCATCTGAAGGTATATCTGTAAATATATTGTTTAGGAGATATTCACACCTAAAGATTTTCATTGTTATGAATTATTTAAGTTGTATTAAGTAAATAAAACTTATTTATTTGTTCCTACTACTTTATTAATTAAACGTAAACATTAAATTCATATTTAATGTTGTTCAAAGTGATATCCTTGAGCATTAAGACAGGCTTGGCATCTTTCTTCAACAGCAACAGTGGCAGAACGGCACTGGATATGTGTTATTCAATTATGATTATTCAATAATTCAATGTGATTCAATTATCCTTCTTCATAAGGAATAAGGTTATTGACCGGACTTGCATAGACTTTTTGTTTAATGTCACCCATAAAAAAAAAAAATCTGGTGCGCACAACACACAACTTTCACTTATTTCTCAACTTCGAATAGAAATTATTTTCTGGCCATGTTGGGCTATTATAAAATTTTTTAATTTATTTTAACTGTGCTAAAGCTAAAATATTACAGCTAACAAATCATAAATATCATTAAAATAACAAAAGTCATATTTATTATATCAACGCCGGTTGATTATGGATTGTACGATCCGTTCATTATGGATTGTATGACTATTAGTTATTAAACTGTTACTTTCCATTATAAAGTTTACTACAATGGGATTAAGACATTTGCATTCTCTGTCGTAGACATGTCAGAAGTTGTCACACTAATTGTAAGTGGATACTGTTGTAATATCACAAAGGGGAAATTCACCAAATTATTCACTAATTTAATGTTCTAAAAGATTACATGATGATTTTTCAGAATAAACGGACGATAGAAACCCAATTATTTAAATATAATATCAGATCTAGAGTTATTAAACTACAGTAAATAAATTTAAGGTTATGAACATATCCATGAAATATTTTTATATTTCATTTCTTCTTTCACACAAGTACAATGAAATAGTATCTTAAACAATGCCATTACCTTGAATCTGTGGATTTTAAATACCTTTTCAAACATAATGATCATATTTTAATACCAGGAATCCTGAGAAATGTCAGATAGTGAATATAAATGAATATATGCTACAACAGCCTAGTAGACGAGATTTTTACAAATTCAAATGATATTTTCAAAATAATATTTATTTGTTTTTAATTTCTAGTGGTTTAGGTTTCAAATGATGAACAATTGTAGCGCATAACATTAAAAACTGTAATAAGTAAATAATACTTCAGACAAGAAGCTGTTATAACTAACCAACCCACCCACATGCAACTGCTTCAACGATAGCCATGCAGTACGCTTCAGTAAGTGAAGTATTGAGGAATATGTGACCTTTATTCAGAACTTTACAAACTTGTGAGTGAGGAAGAGGTCCTAGTAGAGTTACCCTATTTTGAAGCCCACGTGAAGAAACAACTTCTTCTAAAAGAGCTCTTTTTACTCCTTCACCCCCTATCATAAAGTCCACCTGAATACCAATCAATTTAATAGATATAAAATGAAAGATACATAAATTGTAATAAGAAAAAACTATATAAAATAACTTACATCATGATACTTTGGACAGATATCAGCAATAATTTGTGCTAACAAATCGATCCCTTTTCTATAGACAAGTCTACCAATAGTAACTACAACAACTAAAACAAACAAAAAAATATAATAAAAGCTAAGAAATTACATTAATAAATTATTAGGATAATAAAAGTTAAACTAACTTCGATTTTGTGTTCTAAGAGTTAAATCTGGTTTAAAAACTTTGGTATCAACTGCATTTGGTATCACAGACACTCTGGAATGATGAACTCTAGCTCGAAGAACAGTATTTTCTTTTCTAGAATATCCAAGATTTAATTTTATCTTCCCAAAAGGATTGGTTTTTAAAAATAAAAATTTACATTATTTAGATAAATACATGAAGTAAATACATAAATTTACATCATGAAATATTTTTAATGGGCAATCTTACCCTATATGTGAAACACATACACAATGATCTATATTCGCAAGAGAGATCTCAAGAAACTTGTTAGTTATAATTGCAGATGTATCAGCAAATCCAAATAAAGAATGATCTGTGAACACGGTCTAAGAAAAATAAAATTATAAAACTATTTACATAAGAATACAGTTAAATTATTTTTAGTGCTAAATTTACAAAAAAAAAAATTCATGCAGACAGTCCTCCAAAATGACTAACAATTGCCAAATAAAATCTAATATTATAATGACTAGCATATGACAATCATGATACTTTTAAAACATAAATAAACATTTAAGAAAATTGCTATCATATTCATATTTTAATAGTTCAAATACAACAATGATCAAATAATAATTACTAAAACAATCATATTTACTGTAGTATAGCCCAAATAGTAAGTTGTCAAAACAGGTATAGTCCTATTCCTCATGATAGACAATCATAAATTTTATAAATCTTTTTTGATTAAAAAAATACTGCTTGTCACAGAGGAAGACTATATCAGGACTAGGAGGAAAATGATCATGAACTTCTGCACTAATCAAAAACATTTTATTCTATATTAATCAAGTTTTTCTACTGCCTATCTCCCAAAATGACAATTTAAATTTTTTGAAATATATTTTCTATTTAAGGAAAGGTATTATTTTTTTTAAAATACCATTGAATTTAGGTTAAAATTTTTAGTATGCATAATTTTAAAATATTAATATTTTTTTATCATAAATCTTTTTTGTTTACAATTTTTTATAATTTTTATATTCATGTTTTTGTCCTACAAAGTTTGATATAATTCAGTTCAATATTTATAGAGATCTATCATTCTAACAAAATTTTGGTAATGAAACCTAAAAACTTGAAGACTAATACAGTTCTGAAATTTTGCATGGTTTTGGTATAGACAGTCCTCAACAAAAGATCAAGTTCCAGAGTGTGAGGACTGTGCTCAAAGAGGGAAACAGTCCTTAAGCCAAATTACTGTTGTTTTTTATAACTAAAAAACAATAGCCAAAATTGCAATTTTTGTTTTACATATCTGCTAAAGAACTTCACTGTTTTTGGGAAAATATTGTTATAATATATAATTTAAAGAAGTTTCCTCAATTAATATTAAATAGTCAACATAAGAAATATCATAGGTGGTATGTTATTGCGTTATTTACCAATTTCGGTTTTATTGAAAGAAACTTAACTCCCTCGAATATAGTCTACCACAAGAAAGTCCACATCAATGGAAGTGTTCCACCCTCCTTCACTAAATTAATTAAAAAAGTGTTAAATCAGGTAGGGGTTGTATTTGCATTTGCTGATTACGGTTATCAATCCTAGAGTCAGCTTTACAATAACTAAACACCTTCTATTATAAATGATAAATATCACTATTATAACTATTGGACAGATGGATAAAAACTAACACTGTTAAGATAATTTTTTTATGTTAAACACAATAAAAAAAAGCACTACCATTTCACTAGCGTCACTCAAAAATGACAGATGGGGACACAATATTATACTATAGATATAATTCTGAAAATAGTGAAGTATGAATTTGTTCACGAGTGTAATCCCCCTTATTTAGATCATGATTTACCACTTCTCTAAACTGGTATTTTGAAGTCAAAATTAATGACCTTAATTAGTCATTATTTGAAAATCAAGAACAATACAGCCAAGAGTTGGAACCAAAATTGAGAAGCATTGACATGGAAGAGGATGTTGATAGCATATGGGTAGAAATTAAAAAGCCTAACCAGCAGACTGCAACTTCAGTATGTGGGATCAAAAGCTAAGGTAAACGAACTGATTGGTGGTGCGATCAGGTAAAGGCTTGAGTTCAAAGAAAGAAACGAGAGGATAATAGAAACAAATGGGATGAATAGGAATTGTATGTCTGAAGAAGAAATGAAACAAAATTGGTAGTGTGAACAGTGAAAAGAAAAAATTTTCGAAAAAGATCAATGCACTAAAAGGTAAAGAATGCAAAATACAATAGACAAACCCAGCAAAATTTGATCTAATGATACAGATATTCTTGAAAGATGGAGGCAACACTATTCCCAGATCTTTGAAGAAACTAGAACAGGAGGGGCGGAAGAAGAGGATGCCGATCGACACTTTGAAATATTTTCAAAAAGTTTATAAGGAGAAAAGGATTGGGAATATAATATTATTATGCCCGAAAGGGTGTCAAAGTGAATGCCAAAACAGTAGGCCTGTTTATGCCAAGTTGTGAACACATTATTGAGCGATTATTGAGATTACATATTGCGTTTATGGGCATTTTATTTTGTACCGACAAATCTGGAAGGGTAGAACTGGAAGAGTAATTATAGGCAAATGGATTATGTGCTCAGCAGTGAATAATACTTACCCAAGCTCTCATATACGCAGATGATACTGTCCTCATGGCAGACTCAGTACCAAAATTACAGGAAGTAATTGTGGAATGGAAAGTTCAGCTTGAAATGAAAGGTATAGTAAGTATCAATTAAGAAAAAGTAAGATCATGCAGATAGGTCGAGAAATCAAAGACGTACAAATAAACTGTATGGTTAAGACCCAAGAGTTGGTAGAGAAATGTATGTGCCTAGAGGTAGTTGTTGGAAGAAATGGAAAATTAGACCAAGAGATATTAAGTAAGATCAAAAAGTAAATGGTATCTATTACCAGATGTGCAACAGGGTTCTAGAGAGGTTGAAAGGTTGACTAAAATAAATGTATATAACACACTCTACCTTTCAACCTTTATAAATATTTTGTATGGTAGTAAGAGGTGGGTACTACTAGACAGGCATAAAAATATGCTGATCGCAGCTGAAATGAAATACCTAAGAATAGTAGCTAATAAAATTAGAAGAGAAGGCATTAGAAATAAATGGATTAGAGAATATGTTAAGGTGCTACCAATGTTGGAAATTGCTTTGTTGAAAGGAAAATGTTCAAATGGTTCGGTCATGTTATGGGGATGAATGTACAAAGAGAACTCAGAAAATTTCTTTAAGCAAGACCCACAGAAAAGAGGCAAGCTTTTGTGTTCTATGAGGATCCTGGCAAGGGACTGCAAAGATTGGCATAAATGGATTGAGGTCCCTCAACGCTGTACAAACGCTATAAATGGGTCATGGCTTTTGACTTCTGCTAACTATACTCTTACAAAAGGTATAAACAAATTCTAATGGATCCTTTTCAGTCGGGGCCTTACCAAAGAGTTCAGTCACCTTAGTCTACTTACACACTGAACCATTTTCAGAACTCCATATACAGTAGGATTACATGATCTTGCTCCCTAGGGAGCGTGCTAACCTGTGCACAGTACTGCGCATTGCCCGACAACCTGATAACCGAAATTGGAGACGATAAAACAATATGAGTTCATGTCCCGGTGCCTGGGAGAAGGGATTTTTAACTATAGCATTGATCTCCCGCCCTCATCCTCTGACCCAGAAAAATCCTTATAAGGCCTAAAAGATAAGGTAGGAGAGAAAAAAAAGCTCTTTTCCCTGTTTAACATGGTGGAGTGACAAAACATGAACTCAAAATACTAAAATCATTTCATAACAGGTCACTAAAAAAAAAAACTACTGTCTACAATTGAACACAGATACCAAATTAATATCAACATATTAGGTAATACTGTATAAATATCACTCCACTTTCATGGGAGGCATACAATCAAAGTGACCAAAACCATCTAGTAAAGTCCTGATTTTGACTTAAATGGACCAGTTGGGGCTTTGTTTATCCCTTTTAAGCGAATGTAGAGAGCGGAAGTTGGAATGGCGATGTAATTAAATTAATGCTCAGACTTTAACTGAAAAGGATCAGTGGTGAGTTTGTTGAACTATTATAAATAAAGGGAAGTTGCTGCCAACATATCAATCATCTCCTATTCTTAGAATCTCTTCTACAGTGTGATCTCAGCCCACTCTCACAAGTGGATTGGCACAGTGTTATCAAATATTTAGGTAAATATAAATGACCAAAATTGGCATAACTCACTTCAATAAACTAATAAATAGAACACTACCTTAAGTCCCATGAGTTTTCCTATTATCATTACTTCATGAGCTAAAGCTGAAAAAGCACTATGTCCATGAACTATGGTGATGTTCTCTCTGATAAGTACATATCTTATGAGAGGTAGTGAAGCAATCATTGTTGGAAGAACACATTGATTGTAAAATGTTTTAATGGGAAGATAATAGACCTGAAAAATGGACAAGTAAATGAGAAAATTGAAGTTATAAATGCAATAAATTATCAAAAATTCAATTTATACCTTAAGGCCACATGACATGTATCTGATTCCAACCCTATCCTTATAAGAATGGGTAACAACAATCACCTTAAACCCCATACTAATTAAACATTGAGAAAGATTAAAAATGTGTTCTTCCACTCCACCAACATTAGGGTAAAAAAAATCTGATACCATACTAAAATTGAAAACAAAACATAAATATTAAATCAAAATGAATGTCTCTTTAAAAAAAAAATAATAACAATAAATGAATAATTACCATATCCTAGCAATTTCTTTGGTCATTATAGAATTTTTAATAATAACTACTCATCAACTAAAATTAATAATACTTAATAAACCAATTAAGTGGTGGCCCCACCCATTTGTAATGTAAGCTTCTTCATATCAGTACTGATTGTATAATTTTATGGTAAAGATAAACCATAAAACAGGAAACAACATACAATGGCTAATCCATCTCTAAACATTGTCATGTCAATTCCTATCATAATTAATTCAAATTAGTTTACTATCTTTACTATAGTTTACTACAAGCTATGCCATTGTAGGTTGCATAGTTATAGGTTATAAATATTACTTTCTTATTAGAATATCGATAGATGTTATTATAGCTCGTAGAAAGGAATAATTCCGATTCGAAACCTAAAAGTTTCATTTTATAATTATTTAAGTAATAATTAATTTTTTTCTTTCATTACAAGATTGCTAGTACAAAACCCATTAGATTATTCAAAGGATTGTAGAATTGAGAAGAAGATATCGATACATACAACATTATATTACAAATCTATACACAATAAACCATATCTGGTTAAAATTTCTTTAATAAATTAAGTTATTTATGAACAACTTAATCTTATGCATCAAATCATTTATTAATATATACAAGCTCATCTAATTACCATGTATTGGTAGAAAGAATATTGTATATCACGATGTTATCATTACATCGATATATATTGCCAAACCCAGTTCAGTTGTCATTAGTGGTCCAGGTTGGATTTTAACAGTGAGACTGTTAATGGGATTTTTCTTTCTCGTCATATTCGTATCTTACATTTAATTAAACAATAAAAAATAATGCAACGTCCTAATAGACCTGGACGAATTTATGTAACACCTCCCGAAACAGATTGTACGTGCAGGCACTTATTATTTTGTAGATTTAAATGTATTTACTTTACATATTTATACTGAATGTTTATTTTTTATTGATAGGGGAAGATTTTACAAGGACTGATACCCCTGATGTTAGAATCCTGGATGGGAGGTATGTTACTAGGCCTTTAAAATTGTGTTACTATATGACAGTATTTGGTTGAAAATAGATGATTTTTAGTTATTCTTAGGATAACTAATATATCTTGTATAAACAACTTGAAATTGCATGACATTCATTAAGTGATTTCATCAGATTTTGAAAAGTAAACGTCTTTCATGCTCTGTTGAAGGAGAAGAAATTGAACAAATATTTATATGAGAAAATAAAAACTAAACAATGAAAGCCCTTCAATGCTATTGGACAAACTTTCTATGAATTTCAATAATCTTCTAAACCTTATTATGAACTGAATCTAACCCTAGAAGTCTATTATTAAATATATGAAGTGTTCTAAGTGGAGAGAGATGTTTACCTGTCTAAATCATTCAATATTTGATATGCCAGTATGCAATATTTCAGAGATATGCATGTCCAAATGTATTTATAATTTTTATCGATATGATTTCTACGTTTGCTGACTTGAAAAATTTCAAAGTAGAAAGGCTAATTGATTTTCAATCAATAGAAATATCTCCTTCATTTAAAATCAAAGTCACACATCATATTTTTTTAAGTCTAGTATCATAGCCTTTTGAACCATAAGGAAATTAGTTGTCATAAAATTAGAAAGCCCTACATTGTCTATAGATCACTGTGTATAAATGAAACAAATTTTTTTTTGTTTACTATATCACTTCATTCTGAATGCTTCATTTATCAATTAACTGAAAAGAAATTCCTTAATCTTAAAATTGAAGTTCTACCAGATTCCCCTGGCTTTTCTTTAGCTCATTACTATTTTTTTTTCAGAATGCTTAATGCATTATAAAAAGACTGGATAAAATTGTCGTTTCTGGAGTTTATTGATTCAAAGATAAAGTTTTTTTAATAAAAAACTAGTAGGGCATTAGGACCAATGGACTGAAACTGACTGAATGGATTTTGAATAAAACTAAGATTGTAAAGTTTGTATTTCATTTATTACCTCGTAGCCATGGAACTGACATTTCATATGTACCGATCCAGTATTTTTGAATAAATTGATAATTGCTCATCTTATCAAGGAGTTATCGCTCGATCAGATACTCAATATACACAATGTAAACATGATATTTCTTTATAGAAGCTAATGATTCACTTTAAAAAATGTGATGAAATAGTAGACCAATAGCTGGTAGCTAATGTGGGTTGTTCCTTTGAGGATATTTATGTGCAGCCTCATTTAAATAACAATAGGCAGAAACTGTTATTCTGGAGTCGGCTCACAAATTTTATTACAATATTTCACATTAGTTGGTTTTTTTAACATACAATCTAATAACATTGATGGGCTGACTTAAGTTATGTTCAATTGCTTCAAATGATAGGTTGCCATAATACCATAACCATAGTTATACCAATGATACCATAGTTAGTATAAGTCTAAGTTTAGTAAAAGCTCTTTTTTTTTTAGCGTTCACATATTGTTTATTGTGGAGGACAAGAGGTACAATCATATCTCATAATTCAAAATTATTTCTTCAGCTCAATGAAGGACATTTCCATTATTTATTAGAGCTGCTCTGAATTACCATAAAGACAATTTTTGTGAAATTTTGAGATTTAGTCTTGTATGGAACAACAGAAGCAGTATATAAACTGTTCAAGAAGGAAGAGCACTTTACCAGAGATTACCGGTCTTCAAAATCAAAAACTAAGTATTGGTTGCAAGAGATTGAATTATTAATCGGTTGAAGCAATTTTTCATCAGTTCTTTGTTAGATGGCATCTAAGACTTAAGCCACCTTGTAATGCAAAAGAGAAAATAACTAAAGTAGTTTCTTTCTTCATCGATGGAATAAAAAAGAATGAAAGTTTCATGCTATGCAAGTTACATGCATGTAACACATTATACTGATTATCCAACAAGAAATTTTTCTCTTTTTATTTCTTTAGAAATTATAGCCTATGCATGACATCTTATGTAAAGTCAGGGCCTCTCATGACTTCAACTGCAAGTCGTATCTTTGATAGTGGACACCAAAGATCCAGCAACCTTGTAATTGTGCCTCTGCCCTCATTGATTCGTTAGTTTGAAGAGATTTATAAGTGACATATGCTATATACCATGGGCATGTCTTGCTCTTCCTCTGCTGCTGTAAAAGCCTAAAGTAATGTGGACTTTCAGAATTATATTTACTGTGGTTTCTAACTATAAGTCATCCAGAATTGAGGCTTCTAGGACCAGAGTGGCCCAACCTCACTAGCTGTGGTTCTGAGAAGAACCCATAAGAAGATTTTATTGTTTTAGCCCAGTTTTGAAAGAGAATATTACATTTCCCTGAATTTAAGTTCAATTAGAGACATATTTTAAAAATGTATTAGTATCAGTTTAATGAAATAATATGCTTTTACAATTTAAACTTATTATTCACATAAATATAAATTATAATGATGTAGAGATGGTTGACCGTTGATGTAATATGAGAAGGAGTTAGTCGAGGATGCGGTCAAAAAAATTAAAATATATAAATTATTTTAATTTTTGCCGACGTTTCGACCCACTTTGCAGGTCGTCTTCAGGGCTACAAAAGATACAAAACATGTTTTATTTTCATATACAAAAGATACAAAACATGTTTTATTTTCAACATGTTTTGTATCTTTTGTAGCCCTGAAGACGACCTGCAAAGTGGGTCGAAACGTCGGCAAAAATTAAAATAATTTATATATTTTAATTTTTTTATTTATTTGACCGCACCCTCGACTAACTCCTTCTCATAAATATAAATTAGTTCTCTCTATTTCTCATTTCCTCAATAGTTGATGGTGAAAAATTTACTAATTTTAAGTGCTATTGTCTTTGGAGTTTTTCCAATATTGATTTAATTTTTCATCAAAGTATAAGGATTTCATAGATTTGTTCTTAAGTCATGGTTTTGGTCTTTTAACTTACTAAACAAACAGAGTTTGTATTGTATACTCTTTTTACTTATTATTATAATTTTTTTTTTAAAATTATGTAAAAAATCAAATTAATAATTATGATTTAAATTTTTAATAAAATATATATACTTTTAGATTGAGAATGGGAAGTGGTACTAATGATGCAAGAAGGTTTGTTCGAGCTAAATCACGTAAAAGAGGTATTTTAAAGTTTTTTTTTTAAATCTTTAATAAATTAATGTATGAATTGAAGAAAATTGCTTAAGTTCCATCAAAGCAGAGTAATCATGTTATTGCTCTCCATTTTATGTTTGATTAATAAGGATTAGTGACTACTTAATCCTAAAAAGTTGTAATGTAATTTTTAAAAGATATATTGCTTCCATCATGCTTTGTCTCAACCTTATCTCCCATTTGGACTTTTATTTAGATTCTAATGTTGAATGATCCATGACATTTACTATTTCTTAGGATTTTTATTATTTTACACTTAACAAAAGTGGTTTAAATAGTTCTAAAACCCCTCCCTCTGTAATCTCATTCAATGCACCTGCACATTATGGCTTTTCCTCCTCATACAACATGTCTATTTATTTACAACATAAATTAACTGCCAGCAATCTCTATTTAAGTTGTGTTATTTCCTTTGAATGAAAAAATTCACTCACTGTATTTAATAAGTCAAGAAAATGGGCCATCTTCTGCTCAGTGTTGAGGATTCTTGAAGCATATATTAATCATAGTATTCCTCTGTTGAAAAGAGAAACCTCCTCTTCATTGGAACACTGAAAAGTACTGAATTTAATAGTTTTGTAATCATACTTGTAGGTTTTAATTACGGCTGGCCAGCTAATCGGGAAGGAGGTTTCGCTCCTGAAGGGACCTTATTCTACAATCCAGATCAAGCGCACCCTCCACGTCCTGCTCCTCCTCCACCACCTCATGAACCAGTTCCTGGGCCTTCATCAGGGTGAGTTTATCGTCTATATTAACTGTTTTAAGAATTTTTCGTCTTTATATTTTACTAATTACACTCAATTATTTGTATGATAACAATCAGAAATTTTATGCGATTAAGAAATAAATATATAAGCATACATTCGATTAGCTTTAGAGTAGTTCACAATAATTTTAATTATTGAAAACTTGTTTTTAACTTATCAAAATAAATCTATGAAATATTTTTGGTATATAGTTAAACTTACTTAGTAGACTATTTCTCTACAGTAGATTTCTTCCTATAGTGGACATATTTGTTCATTAGAAATAAATTCATAAGAAGCTATGAACTTATTATAACTATAATCATTAGTATATTCATAGGAATATGAAAGTAAACATTTTCATTCGTTAAATAAGATAAATATTTTATCTTTATCATCTTATTTGTTCCCAATTTCTATTCTACTTTAAAATATTGGAATCACAATCAATATTCATGAGAATTGGGTTTTTGATTCTGGAGTCATTTTTAAACAGTTATATTTAGGGAATGAAATGGGTGAAAATAGGCCATAAATCATTGACAACCCGTCCCTTAGTTAGCCCAATACCCTTCATGTGGTGTTACAAATTTTATTTGTTACTTCTCATTTTATCACCGGAAGGCACTTAATATAATGTAGTATTTTTTACTTTCACTTACCTATATTTTTTTTTTTTGTTCCCTACCTCGCCTTTTAGGCTATACGGGATTTTCCCGGGCCGGGGGACGAGGGCGGGGAATTTAAAATCCTCTCCGGCACCGGAACGCGAACCTGTACTTTTTAAATCTTCTCAATTCTATAATCCGGTTGCCAGGCAACTCGCGGTGCTGTGCACACGCTTTAGCCCATTCGGCCACCCCGCCCCCTTCACTTACCTATATATGAAATATATAGTAAGGGAAAGTACTGCAATCGTGAAAATTTTCTAATCTCAGTTTTCAACGGAAATACACATTTTGAGGTCCCCCGAGTCCAAATAATCAAGTCCCACTAAATGGTGTATGTAAACAGCCTAGCTCAAAAACAAGAATTCCTACGCTAATGAAATAGTATATGTAAGATTTTTATATGTTAGGGATGCTACAGCAACGTTTTTGTAAAAATCGGCTAACCAGAAGTGGCGCTTTATATAACAGACTAAACACATGTATGCAATTTTCTCGAAAATAGCTTTAACAATTTTGATTTAATTCATCACATCAGTGTAAAATTAAGCAGTTTTAAATAAAATGTAGTTTCTATTCTGATTGATGTTTTCTACCAGGGCTTAAATGGCTAATTTTCAATATTAGATTCCTCTAAAGTACCTTTAATTTATTTTATTTGAAACAATTGACCATTTCACATTAATCTATAATATAAAAGATAGTTAAATATGAAAGAATTTGATAATTAACTGAAGCAGAAATAAAATATCGTAACGGAGAATAGTTGTAATTGAGGAACCAAAGGAATACGAGCGGACCCGAGCTCGCCCGAAAGATTAGAACACGTAACATAACTTTAATATAATAAGGATTCCGACAATATTATGTAAATATACATATGCGGTTTTCATAGATGCTGTTGTTAGTATTGTTTAATATTTAATTGTATAGATTACAGCACTATAAATATTAAAAGTTGTATATATAAGGGTACTTATAAAAATAAAAATGCCTACAATGAAATATAAATCAATATAGCGTTTGTAATTTTTACTTTCACTTCCCTTTTGTCTAAAAATAATTATTTCTGCTAAGAGGGTAGTAAGTGAAAGTTGTGTGATGCGCACATGCATCAAATTTCTATTAATAAAACCATAAATCCTCACATACATTATTAAAGTAAGGCTCGATATCGGTTTTATACCAAATATAAGCTCCTGTCATGCTCAAATACCATGAATGAGGTGCCGTTGGATTCAGAATTTCACGGGAGGTTAGCGAATCGTGCTCCGCTTTTGTGTTTCTTTCTAAAATAAATTAAGTCGATATAAAAATTTTCTCAGGCTTCAATACTGGAATGGTAGTAAGTCTATAGATCGACATGGAACAAATTGGTCTTTGAAGATTTTGATGCGTACAGCAAGACCTAGATAAGACCTTAAAGTCTTTGGATATCCGAAGGAATCCTTGTAATATCCTAAAGGTTTGTTCTTAAGCTCAAAAACGTACCATTTTGGAGATAATGCAAAGCAAAGGGTTCGCATCCACACAACCTTATGTTAATTGCAGTACTGTCATGGAATACATGTCTCATTTCACCGACTTGAGGCTCCTATGACCAAGAGAGGAGGAGTTTATATTATTTATCAAAGGTGTTTTTTGTCAGTAAGACACATCAACGTTAATTCTACACCAAATCCCAAGATTGAGCCACCAATTTTTGAAGGTTTTCTTCTCCTTCAGGCAGGCAAAATAGTCCAATCACGGCAAAAATTCAGACCAAAAAGTTATGAAAGTAAAGAAACTTTATTTGCGAATAACTCGAAAATTACTCACTTTTCCCTGGATTATGTCCATGATTATATAAAAGATTATTAAATTCTCTATAAAAAGAAAAAAAAAAAAATCAAAATCGAACTATTTTTAGCAAAGCTACAGCTTATTGAAATTTGTAAACATGTTGGTTCCATATATTAACTAAGTTTTAATTTAATTTTTGTTTCCTTTGTCGATTATATTTTGTGAGAAAGTAACAATTTATTTCTTTTATGATATGTTGCATTGTTTTATTTTCTTATTAATTTATTATTTGATCACTGAACAATAAAATGTGCGAATTTTCGCACGGGCCAACTAGTTCTATAATATTCTTGTAATTTATGTTTATATATTTGTAATTTGTTTTTGTGTTAATAATAGCTCCAATTGTAGCAGCAATAGCGGGAACAGTAATGATGTTATGTCCCGCCTTCTCAGTGTGCTTGAATGTCCAGTTTGCTTGGATTATATCTCTCCTCCTATTCAGCAGTGTCGTGAAGGTCATTTAGTTTGCAGCAGGTGTAGACCGAGGCTTGAAAGCTGCCCGAAATGTAGGCAGCCTTTTGCCGATATCAGAGCTAGGGCTCTGGAACAGGTAACATCATTAATACCGTCAATCTATCCATAAATATCTTATTTTTACATGTTTTTTTTTTATTCTCATAAAAATTTATGGATGTATTAATTGCCTTACAAGTTAATAATTTTCTCTTATTTCGTTCAATTCTGTTTTGTTTGTATAGATGCTATAATAACAAATCTAAATTATGCAATGGTAGTAACAGATAAAGAAGAAAACTATAATGATAAAGAACTGCTGCGTTTGACAAATCCTTTGTAATTCAAGCCGTCTCCTTCTGAAATACCATCCTTCCCGATATCTGATATGCACAATCTGTTTCCTCATTTAAATCTCTCCTTTTTAAGCACCAACTCCTTTCCCAACCCGATTGATCACAAAATGTACATACGATAACTTTTTAATTTCCCCAGAAATTATTTTATTTTCCTATGTTTATTTTATATAAATATGCCTGTTTGGTCATGCATTAAATTAAATATTTACAAAATAATATCTCCTTAAAATTAAAATTTAGGAAGATTCTTCCTATATGTTCTAAAGGGACAACAGTCCCAGGATAATAAAAAATATTTTCATTTCATTTCAATGATGGTAGGTAATATTTATTTTGTAATAGAATGACTCTGAATTCCATGGTATATTAATAGATGTATATAGACCTAAAAACAAATGTTCAACCTAACTGACTACTGTATTACTCCTTTTGGTTATGATGAAAAAGCTCATCTGGCAACTCAAAACGGTTGATTTAATTTTTAATAAAATTAGTTTGATTGAGTATGGATTACTATTTGAGTACAATTATCAGCAACAAGGGGAAGATTGACCCAGAAGTAGTGAACAGGATATCCAAAGCCAATCAGGTATATTACCCTATCAGCAACACTATAGTAGGGCACAGGGACGTTGGCCAGGAAACAAAAAGGCATATATTCAAGTCGGTATACCTCCCAACCCTCACATATGGAAGCGAAAGCTGGATTACGCTGGACAAGCAGGTTAGCCGTGTGACAGCAGCCGAGATGAAGTTTCTGCGGAGAACTGCTGGAAAGACCAGGAGAGACCGCATAAGAGAGGACCTGGAGGTGGCGGAGCTAAAGACATTACTGGAAAACAGACAGTTCAAGTGGTTTGGCCACGTTTGTCGGATGGAGGAGGAGAGAGATCCGCAGAAGATTCTGGAAGCTCGACCCACCATGGTAGGAGGCCGAGGGGCCGCCCCAGAATTTCCTATCAGGAGTATATGCAGTGGACTGGAGAGAAGAGAGGCAAAACCCTCCAGGAAATGAGGCGGCTTAGTAGGGATCCAGAGGCATGGCTGCATTGGATAGAGGCTCCACGACGCTAGTAATGGCATGAAGAGGAAGACAAAGAAGGAGAAGAGTATGGATTACAGAAAACATCATCTGCTAATCCAAAATGATAAATTATAGTGAACAGTCAGATGATATCGAAAAATCCTGAGTAGGGATAGACTATTCTGGCTTAGAGTCACCTTCTGTTCTACCACTGGGATCAGTTCTTTTTCATCTTCCAATGAAAATTGGCAATGATAATTATTTCGACCAATAATATAACTATATATTTTCATAAAATACTTAATAATTTAAAAGCTTAAATTAATTGATTATTCATTTATTTGTTGCTTCAAATATTGAGCCTTGTTCTCATGAAAAATTGTCTAATTAGGTATTTAATTAGACTGTGAAAATAAACAAAAGTTTCAACATTAGAATAGAACACAAATTGCTAAGAAGATAGCATTATTAAATTATCACACATCGTTTCCTTCCTGTATGATAGGAACATCAAAGTGACATAAGCTGGTTTGAATTGATTGAGTTAACAGCCACTTCTAATATACCCAAAAGGAATAGTACCAACCTGTTAAACCTAGTCAATAGTGGTATGGATGGTCTAATGCATATTTCATTCTTTTAAGCAAATTATTGTCTGGAAATGTTTCAATCTTAAAACATCAAATTTTATCTTAAAAAAATTAAAAATTTTAATCTCTTTGAATGAATATTAAATTGAATACATACTTATTTTAAGATTATGAAATTATTTCAGATTTGTTATTTTATTCTGCATTTTTTTTTTTTTTTATGCTAAATGAATGAAAGATATTTGCAGATAGCCGAGGTTGTCCCATACCCTTGCTACAACACTGGGTGCGGAGCTATGCCAACTCTGGCCGAGAGGCAGGCCCACGAATCTATCTGCCCCTTCAGAGAGTACCCGTGCCCCATAGAGCCTTGCAGCTGGGCCGGTCCTCGCCCCAGCGTACCCCAGCACATGGGCCAACACCATCCGGACTTTTTGGTTACTTCTTCAAATCATGTAAGCTGTAGTTATTTAGCGAAAAATTGTTCTGAAAACATTTCATGTAATTTTTCTAAACTATTTTATTTAACTGAAGAGAAGGATGATTGGAGTGATCAGTCAAAATAAAAAATAGTAAAAATAAATTATTATATTTTTTTTTATATAGGCAAATATAAATATATAAATAAAAATAAATATAATGATGTAGAGATGGTTGACTGTTGATATAATATGAGAAGGAGTTGATCGGGGGGGGGGGGGGGGGAGGTGTGGTCAAATTGATACTAAATTAAATAAGTAGAATCATTTAATTTTTGCCGACGTTTCGACCCACTTTGTAGGTCTTCATCAGGGCTACAAAAGATACGAAACATGGTGAAAATAAATGAATATAAGAAGATATAAAATAAGAATAAGTTGTCTGATACAGAACTAAAAGATGATGTCAGAGATATTTTAACTACATTGTCACCCACTATATCTCTGATATCATCTTTTAGTTCTGTATCAGACAACTTATTCTTATTTTATATCTACTTATATTCATTATTTTCACCATGTTTTGCATCTTTTATAGCCCTGATGAAGATCTACAAAGTGGGTCAAAATTAAATAATTCTACTTATTTAATTTTGTGAAGGAAGTTAGTCGACTGTTCTACATATCATGGGTGATAAATATTCAGGACGCAGTCTTTCATTAATTTTGTATTAATTTGACACCCCCCCCCTCTCCTCCCTGATCAACTCCTTCTCAAAAAATAAATATAATTATTTATTTTTACTATTTTTTATTTTGACTGATCACCCCAACCATCTTTCTCTTCAATTATTTACTACAGTCAACCATCAACCCACACTTAATTTATTTAACTATTTTACCAAATCAATCTGTTGTTAGCCTTATATACTTCATGAAATATGAATTTTATCTCCAAATTACTAACCATAACTTATTTGTACTAAGGATATAAGTAGTTTACTTTAATAATAGGAGGGTGGTCTGAAAAGTTTCCAACCGCATCGTGAAGATAGCAGCACTCGTAAATTAAAGCAAGTGAATTTCGTTGTTCATCTGTTGGCAGTTACCCACCAAAGTTTCAGGCATTTTGGACACTCAGTTTTTATGTAACACTCGTTTGAGCGAGTGTTTTTGTGAAAATGGGCAAAATCGAGTATCGAGCTTTCATTAAATATTTCTTTTCGAAAGGCAATATGCCTACGCAAATCAAACATGAGTTGGATTCTGTGTTTGGGGACTCAGCACCATCATTTACCACAGTGAAATTTTTGGCAGCTGTACTAAAACGTGGCCGTAAGAGCTTTGGAGACGATGAACGTTCTTGATGTCCAAAAACTGCAACTATTGACGAAAACATCGCCAAAGTTCACTGAACGGTGCTAGACGACCGCCGAATTAAAGTGAGAGAGATATCAGAGGTTATGAACATGCCAAAAGAACATGTTTGTTACATATTAAATCAACATTTAGATATGAGAAAGAGAGTGCTACCACTGGGTAGTAACTCTTCAAGCCTGTACATACTATTATTTATATTTGCGCATATTTACTAGTTATATTTGTATACAGTTATAAATTCCATTAAATAAACAAATAAATAAAAAAAATATGAGAAAGCTATCCGCACGTTAGGTGCCGCGTTTGCTCATGTTAGACCAAAAATGTGTTTGAATAAACATTTCCAATGCTATGTTGGCGCAATAAATCCGAGTTTTGGCGCCGATTAATTACTGTAGATGAAACTTGAATAAACCATTATATGCCCAAAACAAAAATACAGTCCAAACAGTGGACTGTAAAGGAGGAATCAACTCTGAAAAAAGCAAAGCTGTTTTCTCGACTGGGAAAGTGATGGTGACTGTTTTTTGGGGTAGTGATGGAGTTATTTTAATCGGCTATCTTAAAAAAGGAAAAACCGTTACAGGAGCATACTACGCATCATTACTTGACAAGCTGAAGGCAGAACTTGCGGAAAAACGGCCTCATTTGCAGAAAAAGAAAATCCTGTTTCACCAAGACAACCTGTCTCACACCTCAGCAGTTGCCATGGCGAAAATCCACAAATTACGGTTTGAACTGTTGGACCATCTGCCTTACTCACCAGATCTAGTCCCAAGCGACTTCTTTCTGTTCCCTTATCTATGCGTTCGGAGGACACTGATCGGAGAGATTTTCGTCAAATGAAGAGGCAATCACCTTTGTGAACAATTATTTTGTAGAGAAAAATGCTGAGTAGGGGTTATAGGGTTACTTTTGGGACAGGTTACAGAGATGAGAGCATCGCTGGGAGAAGTGTGCAGAGTTAGAAGGAGACTATAATGAAAAAAAAAAAAAAAAAGTCTTGTATTTTTGTTAGGTCAGAAACTTTTAGACCACCTCTTAGTCATTTTAATCCTTAGTGAATACTAATTGATTATATACCTCTCCCCTCTCATTACATAATCAATGTCATTGAATAAAAAATGATATTTGTAAAATTAAAAGCATTACATTTGAAACATTTTTCCTTTTTTTTCCTCCTTTGGTTAATAATCAAATTTATTAATAGTTTACATTGAGTCATTTTTTATTACTACTAACAATAAGTTTATACCTACCTCAAATAGATAATTTCAGTTTCATACGTTTTTAAGATAGGCTGTCATCACAGGCATCATTTTGCTAGACTTAGTTATTTGTACTGAATAGAGCTTTAAATATGTATTTCTTTGAAACACGGATTCATTTGATACGTAGAAAAAAGTAATAATTATTTAGAACAATTTAGTGGGTAATATGATCTTTCATTTTTAGGAGGTACGTCTTACATTGACTCAACACATGAATGAGGAGAAGTCATTTGTTATGCATTGTTTTGATGAAATATTTCATTGTGTAATGGGTGTTGATTGTCTCCAGGATATCTTTGTTGGGTAAGTTACTGTTTTATGCAGTTTAAAAGCTCTCATTGTAGTGAACATTTTCAGCTCCACTTCTTTTTGGAAATATTTTATTTTTTAATTATGAATTATTATTTAAAATTGTGTTTTAAAGATTTGGTCATCAAGACCCAGTTAAGGGTTTCTTTGGAACCTACGGGGCTGCGATTTAAAGCTCTTAAATGTACGGTTTACGAGATAAACCATAATGTTTGCTGAAAACATTATATGTGCCACTGTTGTGATGGTTCATCACATGTGCTCACTTATACTGATATCAAATGTTAAGGTTTTTAAAAATTAAAATTTTACTATTTATTAGTCTATGAAAGGGATCTCCAAACTTTTTGGCTCGTGGGTCGCATTGAGACCTCCAGTAAGTACCTGCAGATCATGGTTTGTGATGAAAAAAAAAATATTGTTTTATAAACGACACTTCAGTTGTGAAATGAGTTTTCTAAGAGAAACAACTGATGCAATAAATGCTGTATTATTGGAGGAAGTTATTCGACTGTTCTACATATCATGGGTGATAAATATTCAGAACGAAATCATTATAAAGTTTTTATTAGTGCCGATGTTTCAACCCAAATATGTGGGTCATCATCAGGGCGTGTTTCGACCACTGAAGATATTCAATTCAAATACCTTCAGACTTCCACTGAATACCTTCAGTGCTCGAAACATGTCCTGAAGATGACCCACATGTTTGGGTTGAAACGTCGGCACTAATAAAAACATTATGATGACTGCGCCCTGAATATTTATCACCCATAATAAATGCTGTAGTAATCTCTTGGTGTAGTGATTTATTAATTTTATATTTTTTAAAACTTTACCATGTAATCAAAGAAACTTTTGGGGGCCATTGTTTGGAGATCTTTGGTCTATGACAAACAATAAATCTATTGTAATAGGTATTACCTCGGATATTATCAAAAGAAACTGGTATTTTTAATCATTTTTCCACAGCGGTGATATCCAGTTTTGGCTTCTATATGTATTCCACTCTTAATAAGTGAGAGATAACTGTTTTACCCTGAAGGAACTGATCTTAAAACGTTGCTATTTATTAAAAAAAAATTATTGAAGAAAAAACATTTATAATGTAGAATAAATATTTGCCCATATTTTCATTTTAGATTGGTTATGTACCTTGGACCCAGGAATAATGCCAAGGATTTTGAGTTCGAGTTGAAATTTAAAAGAGACATACCGCCCCATACTTGTATCTCAATCACTAGGACAGTGTTAGAGGAATCACATCTAGGAACACAGGTATGTTAATAGTTTTATCTAATATGTTATTATATATCTATTGGGTATTCATGGACCTAAAGAAAATAACTAAATTAATAGACAAAGATAGATCATTGTTTATTAACATTAGTCTTTAATGTGATCAATAGTGATACTGTTGCTGTCGCATTAAAAGTGATTAATATGAAAAAATCTACTTTTCAGGAAACATAAATCACTTCACATTTTATCTTTAATTTCTCTGTCGCTAATTATTTTTTATTGAAAAAGATGAAGTGGATATATGTTTATCATCATCCCACCTTATTTTTATTAAGTTTTTAAAAAACCTATTCTCTTTTCAAAATTAAGTATAATACGTTTATTCACTTCAGTATTGTAAAATATTAAGAGCTTGTACAGTAGTAAACATTTTTTATAAATTAATTTATTTCAAGAATCTCTAACAAATTAGTTTAGTTAAATTAAATAGCAAGAGCCAACCAACTGCACAATAGAATTTAGCAAAAATTCACTTGGATTTTCTTTACTTATTTATGTGATACCATATATAATGTTTTTGTACAGTACCTTGTTAAAAAAAAAATTACTGCTGTTTTCAAGTTCTAATAGTGCTAGTAAATTTTTTAAAATATTTTATTAACTGTTCATAAGGCATGATTGGAATTAAGAGATAAAATTGATATTTTTTAAAAATAATTTTATAAGAATACTTTTGGGAAGATTAATGAGATGAGATCACTATTATGGTATCAGTAAATGCGAAAAATCATGTAGTTTGACCATTTTAATGGTGATATTCTCACTGGTTTGGTGTATATACTGTGGTACTACTAGACGATCACCATTCTACTATGAACAAAGTGATTTATCACAGTTCCTAACCAACCCATTTTAAGTTTTGTTATTTCATAGAAAAAGTATTTTTATAAGTTGAAAGCGCTATTCTTAGTATGTATTGCAAAAATTTGATATTTTAGATGGCATTCGGATTAAAGCTAGTGAAGTAAATGCTGTAATCCAACTTAACGCCTAAAAGTTTCATCAGAATATGCAATATGTTTTAAATTATAGAAACATGTGAGATATGAATCATAAGAAATACATAACATCAAGGGAGCTAAGAACAGGATCACATTAAGATATTTGAATGAATTTTTTATTCCTAAATTGTTTGAGAGTACATTTTTATGGTTTTAAGAATTTTTGAAAGTGTATATTTTAATAAGGTTATGAATTTTATCCTCAAACCAGAGAACAAGAGGACAAATTTAAACTACAGGAGAGAAGTATAATAAAATTTCTAGGAAGAAGGCATGCCCTTGGGGCAAGGGAGTGGACACCTCCGATTGATATGCGAAGTCCAAGAGTTGAAGTCCCGGATGCATTGGGAATACACACATACTGATAACAAAGACACAAGTATGTGTCATGATCACAAGATGATTGATTACATGAAAACTGCAAAATCTTTAATTTTTTAATTATGCCAATGATTTGTACAATAGGCTCTTCGATAAAGTTCAAGAGGTATCAGCCAGGTTGAAAGACATTATTGCTCAAGAATATATTATAAAACTTCTCTTGGAAATGTAAAAGTGTGATTTATTAAACATGCTGAAAATATTTGATAAAAATCAACATTCCGAATGGTAAAAAAAAATACCAAGAATGGATAGTTAATGTTCCTGAGATCCGTCATGGGACTGTTAAGCGTGGTCTACATCATTTGTCTCTAGAAAATTTTGTTAAATGCTTTTTTGTATTAGATTGACTAAATATTCTGAAATGATTATTTGATTTCTTGCCACCGATATCAGAAGTTCAAAAGTATTCCATTCGGATATTAGGTATAAGTTTGAAAAAGAAACTTAGGCAGTAAATAGCTTAGCTTCTGCTTCATGTGTTCTGTCCTGTAATGAGGCACTAGAACATAAAATCAAAGAAATAAAGTTATGGAAGATCTAGTCGAAATAACTCAATAACCAAATTTCCTCACTTAATGTTTTTTCTTAACAGGATCTTACTTCCAAGGAAAACTTTTTTTTTGTTACCTTAAGGAATACAAAATAGAGGCCATGATGACTAACTTGATTACCGGCTTTAACATTATCGAATCTCAACCTTCCCACTCCAGTTAGTAGAATAAATTAACGATAGGCTTGGTTGTACCTTTAGAACATGAGCCAAGAAATATATTGTTCTACAACAGACTTTTCTTTGGATTGTTTGATGATTAATCAAAAAGCCATCACAAAGCTTTTTAAGTGTCCTAAACACTAAATATAGAGGTGCTTATACACTACCAGTATTTCATAATGTTAATTTTTAGAGCAGTTACATTGCATATTAACAGAAGAGAGTGTATCTTCAGTTCACATTGGCTGTCAAATTTCAAGATGTAATTTAACATACACATATTTATTTTATTTTCTTCTTCCCTTGCCTCTCGCCAATACAGATTTTTGGTAGAAGTAGATGATACTTCTACCCCTTATCTTCAGTCTTCGTTAGTGAAGGTTGAAGTGATCATCCCACTAATTCCTTCCATCCATACACGAATACTTTGTAGTACAGGTAGTTATCCTTACTTACTAGTTGTGGGAAATCGTTCACTGTGATGATGTAGAGACACATTTATTTAACATTGTACGCTTCACTTAAAATGCTTTGCGGATTCTATAATTGGAATAAATGCTGAAGTGTTTTTGTTTTATTATTAGACTTACACATTAACATCTTTTTCTTCCAAAAAACAATATAGAAAACATCAGTGGCATTGATGATCACAATGGACCAAGATTGAGGTTGAAGTCTCTTCAACTTTTATATATTTATCATCTAAAGTGGCCAGTTATAAAAATTTTAATGGTAAAACAAAGGACATCGAACCATTACAAATCGAGATTTAGTGCGATTAATATCATGAAAACAAAAATAAAATTATTGTACATGAATCCCACCATAAGGAACACTTTGAGGAAGGACAGTACAGATTCCAGATGATCAATAACTTCATCTACTTGGGAAGCGAGATGAACTTCCAAAACGATATCTCCCAAGAAATTATGTGTAGGATAATAACCGCTGCTTATCAAAAAACTTCAGGAGCCGCTATCTTTCAAGGAAGACAAAGGCCATTAAGAAGGCGGATGAAAAACAGCTCTTGGTGTTCGAAAAGGGGATATTGAGGAGGAGGATATATGGACCCATCAAAGTAGGCGAGACATGTAGAAGGCCAAAGAACCTAGAATTGTACAGGCTCTTTGAAGATAGCGAGATCTCCAAAGGCATACAACTGGGAAGACATCGATGGGCTGGCCATCTAGTCAAAAGTATTAATGGCAAGATTCCGTAGAAAACAGCCACAGAAGAGATCTTAGGACAAACACAAGGAGAGTGGGAGGACCGAATGTATGGTGGATGGATGATGTGACTGAAGGTGCTAGGACTCTTCTAGGCATATGAGGCTGGAGGACTCCTGCACAGGATAGGGCCAACTGGTGGAGGCTACTTGAGGCTGCCCAGAGTCGGTGACGAATTGTTGAGCCGTTGTGTATGTGAAGCCCAAAATTGACACTTAAACAAGCACTTTTTTACTATATTTATCTATATGCTTCATACAAGTACTAGAATATTATTAAATTAATTTTTTTTACTATAATTACTCTAATTATCATATAATATTAATGTTTATAGTGAAATAAAAAAATTAATGTTACAGTTGAGTGGTACATCAGCCGTTGTGATAAGCTTTTCAACCTTAAGGGAGGTGATTCAGGAAGAGATTTCGCGACCTCCCATCCTCACTGTTTACATCACAGTTACGAGAAGGATAAAAACTTCAACAAGCTCTTCACCAGCTTCTCCCAGTCCCTCCCCATCTCTAAACTAATCATTGTAATGGAGAGGAGCCATTAACTATTTTGCATCGAATTTTTAAGTATTGATCTTGTATATTTAATTGTGTATATTTAATTTAATTTTAATTAAAAGTTCCAAAATATATGAATGTAAATTTAGTGTGTGCTTTATTGTTTTATATATTAACAATTGAAAATATTTTTTAATCAGAATTTATATTCTATTTTGTTATATTACGAGAAGTGTTTGTTTAAATATATGTAGAAAGTTAAAGGAAAACAAATATTAAGTCGTTTTAAAAAAAAAAAGTTTTCATTCATCAGTTTTACTTAATTTCTTTCAGTTCTTTGTTTATTTTCTCAACAGCTGTTCATTAAGTTTATTTTCTAAGCATATTATTCTTCATTGTGGATTGATGATTGACTGTAGTGAATAATTGAAAGAGAAGAATGGTAGGGTGATCAGTAAAACAAAAAAAATAATTATATTTTTTTATTTTTATTTTTTTACTGGTCACCCCAACCATTCTTCTCTCCAAATATTATTCTTCATAAACTAAAAATTATATCATTGGAATATGTTTTTAGTTAATTTCAATAATTTAACTTCTTAAATATATTGTTGTATCATCTCATTGTAAATCTTAATGTGAAAGTATAAAGGAATCCCAGGGTAAGAAAAAAGAATTTTAATTTAAATGTAAGTTACTATAATATAATAATGATTTGAAAAATCATCTTGGGTACAGTACATAAGAAATTAAGAAGTATTTAATTGATGACAAATATTTATATGAAAAATCTAGCAAGTATTTTTTTTTTTAAATGTTTATAATTATGAAAATATAATTCAATGTTTTAAATGTATGACTTGTGTGATAAAATTATTATGTTTATAAATATTTGTTATGTTATTTTAGATCATTTTAATAATTATTTAAATATATGAAACAATTAGATATTGGCATTTTCTTTTCCTATAGTTACACTGGAAAAAAAATTAAGAGTACAACGGTGTTGTTCATCAGCTGTATGTCAATTTCATAAAGGCTTACGATTCTATTGACCGCCAGAAGCTGTAAAATATTTTAATCGAGCAGATGATTACAAAATAAATATTTAATCTAGTTAGCATATGCTTGACGAAAATGCTGTTTGGACGGCGACCAGTGGAGGGAAGTGTGTAAAATGCGATTGGTGGTATCGGCATCGAACCTTCGGGTTCACTAAGCCTCCTATTATTATTATTATAGTAACATTATTTCTTGATATTCACTTTATTGTAAATATAACTGGAGACGTTAAAAAGGAATAAGCACAAAGCATATTTGATCACTGTTTTTAAAAATACTTTACATACTGTTTTTAAAAAGGATGAAAAATGATCAGGACGTGCAGTCAAAAATTTATTGATGTAGTTTGCCGAATATTTTAATATTATCTTAAATACCAATACCATTGAGTTAATTAATTAGAACAAAAACGATTCTGTTTGTAAATGGAAAGTAACGCTTCTTATTAAAATACTAAAAATATACATCCAAAAGCTACTGCCAACAAACTATTTGATTTAGCTGTCTTCCATCCAATAACTTTATTAAATACAACAGGGGCATATTGCAACATGATGCAAAATACCACAAACTTTGAGTTCATTTACAGCTTTTTATCAAGAAAAATTGTGATATATCAGCCTCCAATCCTATACTATGGGGTTGGCAGTTAGTTGATAGAGAATTTTAGCCTTTATTAACTGACTCGAGTCCAGCAACTGACAAACTGTAAAATGCTTATATGACTTATACACATTCTATTCTAAGTCAATTTACAGTTGAAAAACCTTGCAATACCATGAAATCTTGTCAATATTGTTAGTTAATAAAATAAATACGGGTAAGCGCTGTATGAACACAGAAGGTAGTTTGAAGATAAAGATGAAATTTGATGAATTAAATCTATTTGTAGTGTACTTCTTTAAATTTCTTTCTTAAATTTAATATTTTTTTTTTAAATTATGAGCCAATTTAGTAATTAGAAATATTTAAAACTGGGAATTAAAATAATACAAATAAGTTTTCAATACAGAAAACGATATCATATTCTTTTTCAGCATAACATTTCCTGTAGTTTTATAGCAGATGACTCTTAATACTTTTTTCTTTCAAGATGGACAACACCATAGATGTAAATTTTTCTTTTACTTACCTAAATACAATAGCGAAAGTATTGGGATCATAAAAATTGTCGAATCTGAGTTTTCAACGGAAATACACGTTTTGAGGTACCCTGAGTCCAAATAACCAAGTCCTGCAAAGTGGTCTTTGTGTCTGTAAGTTAACAGTCTAGCTCAAAAACGAAAAGTCATACAAAACTGATATTATGTATTTAAGATAAGGTACATACCTTAAATGTGACTGCAACTTTTTCATTAAAATCGGCTCATCGGAAGTGCCACTTTACATCAACGGTGAAAGACATTTTTACAATTTTGTCAAAAACGGCTCTAACGATTTTGATTAAACTCGGTGTGTCATTGTATGATTAAGTGGTCATTAATATCAATTAGGTCTTATCCCCGTTGATGTCACTTTACAGGGCTTAAATGCCCAATGTTCATATATGTCATCCTCTAAAGTAACGTTAATATAGTTTATTTTAAATAATTAACTATCTCATATTATTAAGAGTTACGAAAAAATGCTAAATATAACTTTTGAAAGAATTTGATAATTGAATAAAGGAGAAATAAATAAAAATGCTTATCCAAGTCGAAAATGAATCACCGGAAATACTAGTGAGAAAGTATACATATAATATATCATTGGAATTTTAGAAAAAACAATATCTAATAATTTTTGAAAACTAATATTTAACATAAATCAAATGTTTTAATGGAAATTAAATTAAATTAACTAAATATAAACTTTTAAGTTTAAAAAAAAGTATTTAAAATCCACCTAATCAAGGCAATGACATTGTTAAAAAAACTATTTCATTATACTTGTGTGAAATATAAAATCATTTCATGGATATGTTTATAACCTTAAATACATTTACTGTATTTTAATAATGCTAGGTCTGATATTATATTTAAATAATTGGATATCAACGTCCGTTTATTCTGAAAAATCTTAAATTATGTGACTTTTTAGATAATTAAATTAGTGAATAATTTGATGAATTCTCCTTTGTGAAATTCCAACTTTATCATGCCTTTTTCTAAAATACCTTTAATTTGGTTTATTATAAATAATTACTATTTCTCCTTATTTAGGAGTTATGGAAAAATGCTAAATATAACATTTCAAAGAATTTGATAATTGAATAAAGGAGAAAAAAAAAATACATATCCAGGCCGAAAATTAATATCCGGAAATAATAGCCAGAAGGTACATGTATAATATATCCTTGGAAAGCGGAGAATAAAAAAAAAAAACAATATCTAATATAGAAAGTTGTAGGAGGTATCGGAGAGTGGGGAAAAATATAAATAATATTTTCTAAAAACTAACATTATTTAACATAAATTACATGTTTTCAAGGAAATTAAATAAATTTTCCCACTAAATCTAAACTTTTAAAAATTGTTTATGTTTGAAAAAGTATTTAAAATCCATGGATTCAAGGCAATGACATTATTTAAGATACTATTTCATTGTACTTATGTGAAAGAAGAAGTGAAACATAAAAATATTTCATGCATATGTTTATAACCTTAAATATATTTACTGTAGTTTTATAACTCTAGAATTGAATTGAACTCGTGAAAATTTTCGAATCTGAGTTTTAAAAAAAAATATTTGCGGTCTCCTTAGTCCAAATAACTAAGTCCCGCAAAATGGTCTGTGTATGTATGTCAGTCTACCTCAAAAACGAAAAGTTGTATGAAAGTGAAATTGAATATTTAACGTTTGTATATACCTGAGATGTTACTGCAACTTTTTTGTCAAAATCGGCTAACCAGAAGTGGCACTTTATATAATAGATGTTACACATTTTTGCATAATGTAGGTTTTAATCTCATTGATGTTCTCTAACCCTGTTAATTTTTTTTTTTAAATTAAACTCCAAATCTTAAATGGATAATTTTCAATATTAGCTTCCTCTAAAGTACCTTTAATTTTTCTATTTGAAATAATTAACCATTTCACATTAATCTTTGATATAAAAAATGGTTAAAATATGAAAGAATTTGATAATTAACTAAAGCAGAAATATGAGATCGTAACAGATAATATAGGAATCAAAGGAATACGAGCGTGACCGAGCTCATCCGGGAGATTACAAGGTTCCATACGTAACATGAGCTTAATATAAGGACTCCGACAATATTATGTACATATGCATATGCGATTTTCATAATTGTTATCATTGGTATTATTTAATATTTGATTGTATAGATTACAGTGATGTAAAAATTAAAATTCGTATATATATAATGGTATTTAAACAAATAAAAATACCCATAATGAAATGTGAATAAATACAGCATCTATAATTTTTACTTTCACTTCCCGTTGGTCTGAAAATACTTATTTCTGCTAAGAAGGTGGTAGTAAGTGAAAGTCATGTGATGCATGCATCAGATTATTTTTTATATCAATCAGTTGTACATTAAGGCCTTTTTTTCCCCCCATTTATTTTAGAATTAACATCATAAAATATGTTTAGAAACATTCTGGTGATTAGATCCCATTTATGGTAAGATGATAAAATCTATTATATAGCATTTCCAAGTCTATTTTAACCTTTTTCCACTTCAAATGTTACCCTTTGTAAATAAAATATAATCTTTTCCATTTCAAATGTTAACTTTTATGTATTAATTCCTGCTTGGAAAAGGTTACATTTGAATTTTATAGGGTTGCATTTCAAATGTAAAAAGTTATATTTTAAATGGAAAATGGTTACCTAGATTTCCAGTTACATTATTTTTATTATCTTTAAATTTATATCCATACCTGTGAAATAACTCATCAACCGTTGGCACATTTTGTATCTGTATCAAATAAACACTCATTTTGATGGAAACAATATACTTCTCATCCAATCGGATCCTTGTGCACCATTGCCAAATATCAGTCCTAGTTTTTTAATTCATTAAAAGGATACAAAAATATAATTGTTGCCTTGATTGGTATTTTAATAACTTGTATAACAGAAATTAGGATTGTTAATGAAAAATTAAGAATCGTGATATAGCTACTAGAAACTCTACATTCTATAAAATGTAAAAATCAACAGGAAATGAGGCTTTTTGTGGCACAGCTTTCTTCTATAGCAGGTAGTTTAGTTATTTGAAATATTCACTTTAAAATATTATACTTGCAAAGAAACCAAATTTTTTATTGTTTGTCCCTGTTTACTGGCTTTTGGTACAGTGGTGCCCAGTGTTGCCGTTTGTACGATGTTATGAAGTAATGTAGTGGTGCCCAGTGTTGCTGTTTGTACGATGTTATGAAGTAATGTAAGAGGTACGAGGATCGACCATCCTCGTACCTCGTACATAATTTTTGCTGACATATGCAGTTATATTTTTATGAATGAAATTTAGAATTATTTTTACAGTATTATTATTTATATTGATATGAAATACTGAACTTCTGTTGCTTTGTGGACAAATAAATTGCAATTATATCTTCTTCAATTAGAGTATGATTAATATTTCCTTCATAAAACCATGATTGTATATATGTTTTTTCATTTTCTAGAAAACAAAATTGATACAGTCATTTAAAAAAAATATTTTAGATTTTTATCGAGTATAAAATAAAATATAAGAAAGTTTATCCATTATTTCCTTCATAAAACTACAATTTTACATAGTTAATGGATGGAGTCATGATTATGTGTTTTCCATTTATTTTTAACAAAGATAGAAATATTGTATCCTTTAAAAAGTTTATTGTATTATTTTAATTTTGATAGAAAGTTTTCCAATAGTTTCTAAAAATGTATGCACTTTTTTATATATTTAATTCCGTGCCTTAAATTAAACTCATTTTACTTCTTGAGCCATTAACTTAAACAAAAATAATATAAAAAGGATTTAAAATAAATGAATAGAGGTAATAAGTAGAGCTCTGCTCTAATTTAATTTAAAAAAAATAAAACAACAACATTGAGTTTACTATAGTATGAATTTTCAATGAGGGTACGAGGATTTGTCACAGAGCGCGCAGCAACACTTGTGGTGCCTCCAACCAAAGCCACATGGAGCTCATATTTTGATACCTTGCTAGCACCTACATTTTGACTAGGGTTCCTGTTCCAAATGTTGGACATAATTTTGTTTGTTAACACTTTCTTGGTACTCTTGTCTTCCCCCATAAATAAGTTCGAAAGAAAAAAAGTAAAGCCTGTCTAATTATTTAATCTCTATTATCTTGTGAGCAAAGCATGAACCATCACTGCCTTATAACTAATGAAAAGGAATCTGAAACTAGCTTGTTGCAAAATAAAATATAAAAATAAAAAAGACATTATCATTTTAAGTTTATTTAAAATATTATTAGTCATAATAGTATTTAAATGACCGCACAATTTTTTTTTTCTGAACTTTTTTTTCTTTTAAGTAACAGAAGTCACATACATATACACACTGTTATATAAAAATAATTACAAAATTTAAATTATTGAGCATTTATCTGCTTCTGCTAACTATATGGTTGGGTGCCCATTTGGTCGGGCTAGGCAGTTGAGAGGAGCTCCCATCTCAGACACTAAACTTTAACTGTACATGCCCACTAAATCATACTGTGCCAAGAATATCTTCCCCCCACAATTTGCTCCAAACTATACTAGGTATCTATCTAGCAATGACTATCATTTCACGCGACAATTTGACTTCTCCATTTAATACAGATTTCGCATATTAATGGCAGTAATCAAAATATAAATGGCAGCAATAATATACATCTTATAAATTTATTAAGGGTTGTTTGGCAGTTAAATTACTATCAATTTTCACAAAACAATTGTGAAATTATGTAAAGTCCATAACTGAAGGCATAGGAACTTTAACAACCATATATAGAACCACGAGTTTAAAAAAATTCTAATTATAGGAACACAGCAGGGTTCAGTCATAATAACAGATAAAAAATGTATACATCAGACTTTCCTCCACCAATGGCAATAGAAAGATAAACAGACAAACACAAGTATAAATAATATGGCAACCCAATGAACTTATCCAATTTTTAATAATAGTAGAATAATTATATTTAAATTTTATAGAATAGATTTTTTTTCTTCAATTTGAGTTGAAATAATAGTTAATTTAAAAATAATGGATCAAAACATCTGTCGTTAGCAACATATTACCTTATTTTCATACTTATGTGTATAAATATATATATAAATATTTCATGCATAATTTCAGAATTGAGCAAGTCTGAAACGTTATTAATATATAATTTCATAGGAGAAGTCAAATTTTCACAACTACTTAAAACAAAATTCTACTAATTTTAAAATCTAATTTGATAAAAAAAATTTAAGATTGTTTATTTTTAATAAAAAACATTTATAATTGACATTTCTTATTATTTCAATCAATTTATTATTATTACAGTTCATAGTAATATTTACAAACGCGAGAATCGAGGATATTACATTACAAAACTTAAAATGTACACTTCTAATCCCTTTATATACAGATCAGTCCCTTTGATTAAAATTAACAGAGAAAACAAAAAAACAAAAACAAAATTATAATAAAAATTATAGAAAACGATCCTTTTTTCTCTCTTTTTTTTTTTTTTTGTTTTACGAGAGTGCTTAAAACTACGTATAAGTTTTGTACTTGGTTTGCGTTGGTTATTTTCTGTTAGGCTTAAGGTTGCGACTGCTTTCCACCACCACTACTCATATTGTGGTGAAGGTCAGAGATCACGTCCCTCCTAATCACCACCTGTAAAATTTATAACATGAATAAAGTAAAGTTTTAACATCACAACTACTCAACTAAATTAACTAGTTGTCATCAGTTTCATTAAGTAACAATCCATAATTACAACAAACATATATATAATATCCACTTTATTATAAAACTTTTTATTCAGAGTTGTTATTTAAACTGTATTCATAAAGAGTTTTATGCCATTTATTGATTTTGTTACAGTCTAATTGAAACATAATTAGTGATTTTTTTTTTATTCAGGCATGACAATGAAAAAGGAATAATATTTAATGGAATATGGAGTCAATACATATAAAAAAATAAATAAAAAAAATACAAGTAAAAGAAAGCAATGATATATTAATAGAATAATCATTCCAGTAGTTATATTTACTGAGCACATTAATTAATTTTAAACACCAATAGGTAGTTAGAAAATATACTCAACTCAAAAATATGTAATTAATAAAATCAAGTGATTCATCATCATAATCTCCTGAGAAAGTTAACAATGAGGCATACCTACCCACTATGACTGTAACGGACTAAACAGTTAGGTAGTAGTATATACAGGCTTAGATTCATTAGTAGTGAAATAAGCAATAAATTAACAACTTAATGATTAACAATAAATAAGTATTTTTACTTTTACTTACATATACATGCAATATAGAGTAAGATTAAGTAATGCGATCGTGACAATTTTAGAATCTGAATTTTAATGGAAATACATGTTTTGAGGTCTCCTGAGTCTAAATAACCAAGTCCTGCAAAATAGCCTATGAGTGTGTGTTTGTGATCAGGCTAGCTCAAAAACGAAGTCTTGTGAACTTTAAATTGCATATTTAAGATTTTTATAAGCCTCCCGATATTACAACAAGATTTTCCTCAAAATTGGTAAACCGGAAGGGGTAATTTATATAATCAATTTAACACATTTTTACAATTTTCTCAACAAAAAAAACAACAAACAATCCTCTAACGACTTTGATTAAACTCAGTATATCAGTGTATTAAGCAGTTTTTAATATAATGTAGGTTTTATTCTCGTTAATGTTCTTTAACAGGGCCTAAATGGCTAATTTTAATATTAGCTTCCTCTAAAGTACCTTTAATTTTTTATATTTGAAATAATTAACCATTTCACATTAATCTTTGATATAAAAAATAGTTAAAATATGAAAGAATTTGGTAATTAACTAAAGGAGAAATAAAAGATCGTAATGGATAATAGTTGTAATAGAGGAATCAAAGGAATACGAGAGCGACCAAGCTCACCCGAAAGATTACAACAAGCTTCTATACGTAACATTATCTTAATACAATACGGACTACGACAATATTATGTACATATACATATACGGTTTTCATAAATGCTATCATTGGTATTATTTAAATGTATTGATCACAGCGAAATAAAAATACCCACTATGAAATGTGAATAAATACAGCGTCTATAACTTTTACTTTCACTTTCCCTTTGTCTGAAAATACTTATTTCTGCTAAGAGGAGGGCGGTAAATAAAAATCGTGTGAAGTGCGACCAGATTCTTTAAATAGTTTTTTGTTTTGAAAAGTTTAAATTAATAAGGTAAAAAACAATTTAAAAATGCGATAGTAATGTTTTAATGAAATTTCAAGATGAGTAAAAGGATAAGTCGCAGTTATGACTGAAATTACTAAACTGACCTGGGACTGCTGTGACTGAGGTTGCTGCTGCCCAGATGAAGAATACATTCCTGGATTATTGTGGTTACTGTAATTGCTACCAGCACTCGAGCTCCTAAGTAATTTCAAAACATTAAATATAATATAAAATGATATTTTGTTTAATATAAATTAACGAAATACTCAATTACTGTTGTTGTTTTATTAATTTTTTACTACAAAAGGAAAATAATAATAAATAAAAAATGAATTATAGTTTATGTGTTTCATTTATTTGCTTTTGCTTTTGATTGCTCTTCAAAAACCTCGATTAGGCAGCTGACTACCAAGCATAAAATAAAATTATAAGTTAAGTATATCCTAAGACATATATTTTGTGTATTTTAACAGAGTATAAATTAATTAATATTTTCGGTTCCAATTTAATTACCTAAATCGTTTTATTTTAAAAAGACCTATGTGTTTTTTATGTTGACATAATTTTTTGGTGATTGAATAAATGGATAAAACATTTATTGTGAATTATTTAAAAATATAAAAGTGCAGACATACAGAAAAAAATATACATGCGTTGAAAAAGAATCATCCTCGACATGGAAGATGAATGGGAGTATTACAAAGAACGATTTAAAATTGAACTGCGAGTTCGCCGAGTCATGTCACTCGAAAGTCAAAGGGATCTCTTGCTGGCCAGCGTAGGCCCCAAGTCTTTCAAAATACTTTTTGATCACTTCAGATTAAATAAGGTGAGTGTGATTTATTTTAAAAATGTATAACTTTTATATGTTTAAATAATTCACAATAAATGTTTGATCCATTTATTTAATCATCAGAAAACTTATGTCAACATAAAAAACACATTGTCTTTTTAAAATTAAATGATTTAGGTATTAAATTGGAACAGAAAATGTGAATTAATTTATACTCTGTTAAAATACACAAAATATATGACTTAAGATATACTACAATATGAATCTTTTACAACTAATAATGCTAAGTCAATTCCTGTACTTTATCATAAGAATCTGATAATTATAACACCATATTTGCCTAAATATATACATTGTTTTCTGAAATTTTCTCCCCTTGAAGCAGGGTTCGATCTAAAACTTGAATCTATTCAGAAAAATATGAGTTGGACCAAACTTGTTGCAACTAAATTACTAGATGGTTTAGTTTATTTTGTTTCTACTTTCACGATGCAGGATTTAATCCATATTACTTCAAAACAGAACGTTAGATGATACATCTGTCCAAGACAAACAATATGTTGAGTAAACCAAAACAAGACTATTTTCATAAATTGTACTTAGAATTAAGATTTGAGGATACAAATTTAATAAAAACACATTTATAGGTTAATAGTGAATTGGCTAACACCTATTTGTCTCTTTATCTTAGATTTATCCTTTTTTTTATATATATTATAATTAATAATAACAAGCGATAGAAGTCGCCATTTGGTCAGAACAAATTGTTATTATTGTTTAATTAAAACATCTAAAATAAAAATTTTTAGAGCAAAATGAATAGAGTTAAAGACCCATGCTACAGCCTAACTTAAATTTCAATTTTAGTACTAAATTGGTTGAATATTAGGATTGTGTTAGATGAAGTGATAAAATGATCAGTTACAACTATTTAATGCAGCAATTACTAATAATCATACCTTCGCTGATCCCCTGAAGATGCCCTTACTACAACACTGTTTTGAGGTTGGATTTGCTGTCCACTTCCAGGAAACCCTGCCGAGTTAGACCTAAACATAAACATCAAATTCTTAAAATTAAAAATATAAAAATAATCCACAACGATACAATTTTTAAAAGTAAAAATAAAAAAATTAATTTTAAGGTCATACAGAAAGAACTGTAACAGTGAAATCAGAAAGCAAGTTTACAAAGTTGATTAAAAAATAACAAAAATGAACATGGGAATTCATACCATAATTTTTTTTTTAACAATTGGTATAAATAATGAAATGGTTAATAAGTGAAATATAAATAAGTAAAACCTAAAACAATATTGTATTCTACACGTAAAATATTTAATAACGAGAATATGAAATTAAATCTAATGGAGACCCAAAACTATTAGTATAGATTAATTGTAACATTACTTCACATGATATTATATCGTCGGTACCATGATTAAGTAACGAATATCAGCTTATTTAACATTGCACATTCATTACTTTAATATGGTACCAACGATATAACCATAAAAAATGTAAATTATGTTATGAAAAAAATATAATAAAATATAAAAAACAAAACACGTGGACTTAATAATGTATTCAGCTGTAGTGAAGACAGACCAGGCATTGTTCATTCCGAAACATTGTAACAAACATGTAATTAATATTCTTATTAAGGAATGACATAGGGAAGAATTTTATTGTCTTAATCACAAAGAAAGTTAATTATTGATAAGTTTTCAGTCATTCATCTATATAATAGTCTTCCTTGTAACACTTTCAAATACAACAGACCAATTATTTCAGCATCAAAAAGTATTATGCAGCAGAGAAAAATTAGTTTTTAAACAACAAACCTGGGTAAAGATTGAGGTGTATTCCTCTGGTACTGGACTTGTTCAGCAGCAGTAGCCATACCATTTTCAACAGCGGCAGGAGCATTATTTACAGGAGGAGTGCTAGCAGCAACATTATTAACTAAAAAAAAAAATTGACAAATTAAAAAAAAACAACACACTGACAAGAATAAAAATATAGATATTAATGTACATTTACTAAAATAAAACAACCCAATTTGATTTCACATTAACCTTGCTGCTGTTGTTGTTGTGGATGTTGTTGCTGCACAAGAGGAATAGCTAGCCTCGCATTAACAGCTAACAGGTGATCTCTCCTTTGAACAAGATTTGTAACGTGTTCTTCAAGCTGGGCGTTTTCAGCACGTAGCTGATGCAAACAGGAAAGCAGCGAAGCAACTGAAAAGTAAAGAAAGAACAAAATTAATATGGATATAATTTGCAAATAGGTGGTTCAACATTTCTAAAGAAACAAATGCAACCAACTGTTAAAGACTAACTAAAGTGAAAGTTACAGGAATAAAAAAGGCCTCGATGTATCAATATAAAAGGACTAATGGAGTACTTGAATATATCTTTAAAAAATAGCTAAAATTCTAAATAGAAATCATTAGATTCAGAACATATATAAGACTGAAAATGTCTTTTTTAAATAATAAAAAATATTGATGTCTAGCTAGCTAGTAAACTGAAATAAAACTGCATCGAGTAGGTACATAAAGATTGAAGGAATAAACCTTAATATGACGTATTCCTGTTGTGCCGTACCTATATTATCATAGCTAGCTTATTTTATTTATTTATAAAAGTCCTTAAAAAAAATTTAAACCGAATATTAAGGATATTTTGAAAACAAATATTTCTTGTGCAGTATCTTAATACTAATTAAACTAACCACTGTAAGATTGAGCTAGGCCCTCCTAAACTTTGATATTGCTATATAAGTATTTTTTTATTTTGTAACTTATCTTTGCGAATAAGCATTGAGAAAATTTGGAACTTAATACACTTTTCATTTTATATCTTATCATCACCAGTGAGTAAAAACATTCAAGTAGGACATTATCATTACAAAACATTTCATAAAAGTGTCTTACTAATATATATATATATATATTGAACATATCAATGTTAAGAATAGTCGCCAAGAAGCAAATATAACAAGATAAATAAATATTAACAACTAATGTAAAGTCAAAAGGAACTATTGACACTAATAACTAACCTACGCCCACTTCAATTATTCGTCCTAGAAAATTAATAAATTTTCTGATAAAAAAGTTTTTAAAATAATTATGAATAAATCAAATTAATAACTAGAAATAAATTTTGTATAAAATAATATCAATATTATAAGAGGAATTATTTATAATTCAATCTAACAAACATTTCCAGCTTCATTTTAAAAAACAACATTGCAATTATTACGTAAGCCACATCTTATGAGTAAGGACACAATACTGATTAGACCGATTACCAATAGCACTTCTAAACAATTTTCTTAAAATATCTCCAGACAGTGTTGTCAGCAAGAAAGGGATTATAAACAAAATATATACTTATGCTATCTACAAAGGGTGCTCAACGTACTATCAAAATGCTGAGCCTGCTCCATAAGAAACTGAGAACCTTGTTCCCACTGTCGCTCCAACAACTGTTCCAATGATTGCGGGATATTATTATTATTTGTGGTGTTATGATTATTAGTCGTGCCAGGCATACCTGTCCATGCTCCTATTCGGTTCTGTAATTAATTAATTAGAACATAAAAACTTCCTTAAAGTATATTATAGAAAAGTTACACAAATATACAATTAATAAATATATTGGAAAAAAAAAAAAACTGAATAGAAAAAATAAAATAAATTCAACATATTTATAATAGATAATTTGAATTACCTTTAGTTATAACTTAAGGTCATATGGTCAATAATTTGAAATCATGAGGATAATAATGCATTTTTAATAATAGTAATAATAATACTAATTAATTAAATAAAAACTCAATTTTGAAAAATAAAATTTCAAAATCAAAAAGTGATTAATTATTGTACTATGCTATAATGAGATATAGCTTGATGATTTCATTCACCTACCCTAAATAAAATAAATCAAACTTCTTCCTGTTAGTAATGAAATAAAAGACAGAAAATTTGTTTGGTGTATAGAAATCACAAAGAAATCTAGGTGAAACTAAATTCCATCCTCCAGTTGAAAGAATCATTCAACAATGTCGATATACATTTACTCCACAGTTAGTTGGGCCCAAAAGGTTGAAATTCATTAAAATCTTAAATGATTAAGATCAATTTTTTTTTTAACCCAGTATTACCTCTAAGTATACATACTTTGTAGATTAGCAACTACTAATCCATGCATGACATCAGAAAAGTTCAACTAAATCAGTAACAATTTTAAGTCATAATTAATAACTGAATAAAATATGATAAAAATTTATGTTAACTAGGGGCAAATATTGTAACATATGAAAAGATACCTGAGCGTGGTGAGGCCGATGGAGCTGTGGTCCCACCAAGCTATTGCTCTGAGTAGGCTCCTGCTGGGTAAACACAGAATGTGCGACCATTTCTTGCGAAAGGGTATCGCACATTTTTTGCGCCATTACACTACTTGGGTTCAACTGATTCCCAAGCATATGAGGAGCATTCAAACCGTTCTGAAAACTAAAAGCATAAATTTTATTTTTCAAAATTAATATCCTGCTGAAATTTTAAAAATAATTTTTAAAAAATGGAAAAAAATCAGGTGCGTGCAACACACAACTTTTACTTACCAATCAACTTAAAATAGTAATTATTTTCTGGCCACATTGGGCTATTATAAAAAATTTTAATTGCATTTTAACTGAGCTAAAGCTAAAAAATTACAGCTAACAAATCATAAATACCATTAAAATAACAAAAGTCCTATTTATTATATCACCGGTTGATTGTGGATCATGTGATCTATTCATTATGGATTGTATGACTATGAGTTATTAAACTGTTATTTTCCATTGCAAAGTTTATTAAAACAGAATTAAAAGATTTGCATTGTCTGTCATAGACAGGTCAAAAGTTGTCACACTAATTGTAAATGGATACTGTTGGAATATCACAAAAGGAAATTTTATCGAACTATTCACTAATTTAATTTTCTAAAAAGTTACATGATTTTTCGGAATAAACGGACGATAGATACCTAAATATTTAAATATAATATCAGATCTAGAGTTATTAAACTACAGTAAATATATTTAAGGTTATTAAGGTATCTATGAAATAGTAGCAGATACTGTTGGAATATCACAAAGTGAAGATTCATCGAATTATACACTAATTTCATTTTCTAGAAAGTTACATAATATTTCAGGATAAAGGGACGTTGATACCTAATTATTTAAATATATAATATCAGATCTAGAATTATTAAACTACAGTAAATGTATTTAAGGTTATAAACATATGCTTTATACATCCTGGAAATGATTTTATATTTTACTTCTTTCACACAAGCACAATGAAACAGTTTTTTTAACAATGTCATTGCCTTGATTAGGTGGATTTTTAATACTTCTTTCGAACTTAAAAATATTTTAAAAGTTTATGTTTAGTTAGTAAATTTCATTTAATTTCCTTGAAAACATGTGATTTACGTTAAATATTATTAATTTTCAAAAATTAACAGTTATAATTTTTTTGCCACTCTCCGTTACCTTCTACAACCTTCTATAATACATGTTTTTTTTCTAAAATTCTCTGCTTTCCAACGATATATTATACGTATACCATCTGACTAGTATTTCCGGAGATTAATTTTCGACCTGGGTAAGCATTTTTTCATAATTCCTAATAATAAAAGGTAGTTAATTATATAAAATAATCCATATTAAAGGTACTTTAGAGGAAGATGCATACGAACATTGGGCATTTAAGCCTTGTAAAGTGACATCAACGGGGATAAGACCTAAATGATATTAAAGACCACTTAATTATACAATGATACACCGAGTTTAATCAAAATCGTTAAAGCCGTTTTTGAGAAAATTGTAAAAGTGTTTCACCGTTGATATGAACTGGTACTTCCGGTTAGCTGATTTTAACGAAAAAGTTGCTGTCACATCTAAGGTATATACCTATCTTAAATACGTAATATCAGTTTTGTACAATTTTTACTTTCACTTACGTATATATGAAATATCTAGTAAGTGTAAGTATTGCGATCGTGAAAATTTTCGAGTCTGAGTTTCAACGGAAATATATGTTTTGAGGTACCCTGAGTCGAAATGACCAAGTCCCGAAAAATGGTCTGTGTGTTTGTATCTAAAACGAAAAGTCGTACGAAACTGATATTACGTATTTAAGATATGTATAAGCCTTAGATGTGACGGCAACTTTTTCCTCAAAATCGGCTAAGCGGAAATGGCACTTTATATCAACGCTGAAACACATTTTTATAATTTTCTCAAAAACGGCTCTAACGATTTTGATTAAACTCAGTATATTATTATATAATGAAGTGGTCTTTAATATCAATTAAGTCTTATCCTCATTGATGTCACTTTAGAGGGCGTAAATGCCCAACGTTCATATACGTCTTCCTCTAATTACCTTTAATATGATTTATTTTAAAAAGTTAATCCTTTCACATTATTCAGAGTTACGAAAAAATGCTAAATATAAATTTTGAAAGAATTTGATAAGTTAGTAAAGGAGAAAAAAAATAAAAATGCAGAAAAACCTGCGTTGCTATAGACTGTAGCGCCCAAACGAATGTACCGATTTCAATGAAACTTCGCTAAAGTCATTTTCTCGACACCCTTTATATTTATCTATATAATATACTTCAATGAAAAGAAATTGGAAAAAAAAAGTTACGAGGGATGGTAAAATTAGATTCCGAATAACTCAAAAAGTATAGAGGTGTTCCGAGTAACACCGCTTTCTGCATCAGCTCCAAACAATTTATCAAAAGGCCTAATTCCTTCATGGAGCCCACTGTGATGTCCGGAATAAGACCATTTGCAGAGATGACCAGCAGCAAAACCCTCACTTTATCAAATTTACATAATTGCTTAAGCTCCTCACCAAGGTGTTGATATTTGCGTTTGATATCGATAATTTTTTCCACAACTATCTTGTGAAGTTTATCATCCAGTGGCACCCCTATTTTGACAATCTTTGCATGGTTCTCATCCTTCAAAACGTGGTTTGGTCCCAGTATAGCATGACATGCCGTTTATCAATCAACGATTATGGTCTATACTTGTAATAAGGACAAGCATTGTCTAAAATTCCAAATTTCTTGGCTAATTCCTGATGCACAATCTTAGCCTTGTTATTGTGTCTAAAGAGATATTCATTTCCAGCAAGCACTTGACATCCTGATCTGACGTGCTGAATCGATTCTGTTGCTGTTTTACACAGTTGACACAATTCAGCTACAGCTTCTCTGCAAATACGTTGCCTATAGGCCTTTGTAGCGATGACCTGGTCCTATATGGCTATAATGAATCCTTTTGTTTCAGGAAACAGTGTACCCCTACGTAGCCACATCCTTATCTATTCCTGCTGCTGATCAACTATGATAAAATCTTCCATGTAGCTCTTTGGACTTCCACGGGTCAAGCAGTTTTTGATTTATAGATGGAGGAAAATTTTCACGTTGAAGATCAAAGCTGTATAACCAGAGTCCAGCACTGCAATAGCTGAGATGACCCCAGATGAACTATTGGCTCTAAAATAGTTACAGAGTTTTGCTTCTTCTTTGCAGCATGATTTTAATAAACTTGAAAGCCCTCGTCCTCCCTCTTTTCTCGATGGATTCATTCTTACAATGGACAATTTCGGGTGACGTTTCCGGGAGTTCGTCATTTCCACTCTTATATCTGAATCTATAGTACCAAGATCTGTATTGGTCCATTTTAAAATGCCAAAGGAATAGAATAAAGCTAGAATAGCCCATGTATTTAAAGCTTTTACATTATTTTTTCCAGAAAGATATGTTTTGAGGATGATCTTTACACGACTCTTGAATTTATCCTTGAAATGCTTTTTAATGTCTTTCTTAAATTCTTAAAGCTGATAAATACCAAGATACTTGTACGAGTCATTTTCATTCAGGCTGTCGATCACTGACTTATTAGAGAGCTCCATACCATTTGCATCTTTAATCTTTCCCTTGTTGATATACAGCAGAGCACATTTATCCAGACACATTTTCATACTGATGTCTTCACTGAAGATCCGTACTATTTCGAGAAGGCTTCACATATTTTTTTCATTCTTGGCATAAAACTTAAATCGTCCATGTATAAAGAATGGGTAACAACAGTTTCTGCACTAAGTCGATAACTCTTACCTGATAATTGCAACAAGAAGCCCAAAGGAATGATCGCCAAACAGAACCAAAGTGGACTTTGCTATGTATTCTAAAGACCACCTGTGGAATTTATTTAATTATTTCAAAGGAATAAATAAATTTAAATCATAAGTGCTGACACCTGGGCGGTTGGTTTACCTGGGGGAGAGTAACGACCCACTATTGAGTGCAACCTTTTGTAAGTGGCAATAAAACACTTAAGGATAGAGAGGTCAGTAAGAACACCGAAGGAACGTCAACGGTCTTACATCAGAATGTTTAAAGAGGATTGAACGGAACATTAATACCTTCGAGAAAGAGGAAACTGAGGAAGATATACCTGCCAGAGTACGGCCTGGGGGCGTGGTCATCCCTTATGCTAGGGAAATTCAGCCAATCAGAGAAAACTACAAAAAGAGAGGGGGATGACAGAAAGGTTGGAAATAGGACACTTGAGGCTGGGAGAGCGACATGGACAGAGACTTGAGGCAGAGAGGCTGAGAGGGCAACATCGGCGGGGACTCCCCACCGAGGCAGCTGGGAGTCAATCCCTAGGAGACTTAAGGAAGACAGGCGGAGAGGACAAGATTTACGGGGACTCCACACTGAGGCAGCTGAGAGTCAACCTAGGAGAATCGAGAGAGGCAGCTAGGAGACACTGGCAACCCCCCTCCCTCCCCCTCATCATGAAGAAACAGTTAAGTCATAACCCTCATTTAGTTGTACATATGTAACTTGTGTTGGCAATCCTCAATCATTAATAGAATCAATAGATCATAAGTAACTTCAAGGCATATCCAAAATAGCATTCTCCTCTAATATGATTCTCTACTACTCATGGTGTATATATGTTTGGGTTATTATATTGTGTATATATGTTTTTTGTTATTTAAGTTTATAATATATTAATTATTATACCATCTTAGTAATTTTACAATCTACCTTGCATGCCACCAATTAGTTATAGAAACAAATAGTAAATTTTTAAACATGATACCTTTCGAAAAGAAATTCAATAATAAGTATATTAATCAATCTAGGATAACACAGTAGGGAGTCTGTGGTATCTAACCTTTAAATATACAATTCATATATTTTTCAGTTGATCGGTTCCCTTTTGGAACCGATATAAATACAAATAGAAATAAATGCGGTTCCTGGAACCCCCTACTTGCCGTAGAAATGCGAAAGCCAGCAACATAGCAGCTTAGAGAGTCCCCTTAAAAATTCCTCTATTTATCGGAATTTTTTCATTGGATAGAGGTGTTTTCTGGCCAAGCAAACTGAGGAACACTTTCCATTGTTTCATAACGTGGTATAACAATTCAATAATGGTTTTGTCTATCTTATAAATATTTCTACATTCCAGAAGCCAATCATGTGCTACTGAGTCAAAGGCCTTCTGGTAGTAAATCCATGAAACAGAGATGTTACGTTTCTTGCTTTCAACTTGTGAAGATATGAAGCTGTCAATGATAAGCAATTCTTTGCATCATTTGTATAATTATTATTTAATTATAAATTATTATTATTAAAAAAACAAATTATTTTTCAGTCTCAGTTTAAAAAAAAAAGCATTTTAGACTATTATTCAAAATATAATTTAATTTGCTTCAAAAATTTAATTGTCTAAGTTAGATGAGTATTTGTGATTGAACTTTGTACCCATGTTTTGATAAGAATTTGTTAATTACTCTGAGCAGTTTTAGATAAAAACTCATTCTCTCGTCTTCAGTTTCTAGAATTATTTAGCATTTCCTTGAGCATTCCAGATATTTATTTGATAAATAATTAAATTGTTTACAACGCCAAACTTTAGAATAAAACGGGAATAAGAGAAAAATAAAATATAATCTAAATTGGATGAAATAGGAACGATAGAGCTAAATATAAGAAAGTTGTCAGGGTCTTTTATACATGGACATACCAGTTTATTATTATTTTGTTTTTTAAATAAAAATCAACTTATAACAAATGGCAAATAAAAAACTGCACAACTTGAAACGATCCCACTGTTTACAATTTAAGAGATAAAATTGTCCAAAATCAGAAAATGAAATACCAAACAGGAGTTAGAAAGTGCGTCACTGAGTCATAGAAAGAGAATCATATGGATCCAGCCTAACTAACATATCAAAAATAAAACTCTTACATTTTAACATCCTTTTCTTCCTTCACAACAACCCCTGAGCCAGGAGCAGACCTTCTCAATTTTCCTTCACTGGAGCTAAGTTGCGAATTACTGCTTTCCCCAGGACTGCTGCTTTTAGACCTTAAAAAAAATTATAAATATAAACTATAAACAAGTACTTCCAGACATTGAGTAATTTTAATTGAATAATAATAATTCTAATTGTAACAATTGATGAAAACACCTATGATATTAAAAATAGACAAAATAAAAGACAATGTCGTACAGAGAGACTCATTGAACCTGGTATCGAACAAAATCATGATTCCACCCGGACAAATCCCTGTAGTTCTCAAACCAAAGAAAATTTAAATCAGCCAAGCCAATATTTGAAGAGTTAATTTAGCACAATGGCATTTATCTCCACTCATTTGTTTCATATAACCAAGTATCACCACACCTGCCCAAATGAGCAAGCATGACAAGTTTAAAAGCTTTCTTTATTCTTCTCCTATTCTAGCTAGTGACTGGAATAATCTCCACATATATTATTACAGTAAGGCTCGAGATCCATATGATCAAGAGAGGAGGAGTTTCTATTACTTATCAAACGTGTCTTTTTTTTTCATTACACCCTGCTGAAATTTCAGGAACAAATTTATGAAGAAAATGAAACTTTATTTGCAAATAATTCAAAAAATGTACATTTTTTGTTAATTACGCCCATGTTAATTTAAACGATGACTAAATTCTCTACGAAACAAAGAAAAAAATCATCAAAATTGGACTATTAATAGCAAAAATACAGCTTGAAGCTTGTGAACATGTTGGTTCAAAACATGAATGAAGTTTTAAATTAATTTTTATGTACTTTGTCGATTATAATTACTGAATCAGAATTTATTTCTCAATCCTATGATACATTGCATTATTTTATTTTATTATTAATTTATCATTTGATCCCTGACAAATATATTGTGCGAATTATTCGCATGGGCCAACTAGTAAATAAATAATATTTAATAGGAATAAAAATTATTTATTTATTTATTTCAGCAAGCTGAAAGTAATAAATATGACAATATTCTAAATTTGTATTAAGAAAAAAAACCTAATGAAAAATAATTAATATAAAACCAGATATACAAAAAAAAAAAGTATTAATACACTTACCCAGATGACTGCTGAGATTGGGGAGGAGGTGAGTGTGACTTCCCACTACTGTTTCTCTTCATCCATCTTCGCCCTTTTTCACTTTTTTCCGACGACTGAGACCTGAAAAGATTAGACAAATAGTTATTATCAAAGTTTAATTTGAGCACTATTAAATTCAGTCATGGATTCTTCAGATTCAACTCTATATGATTCTCAAATTTTCGTAAAATTGTATGAGAAATTTATTTTAATAAAACTAACTAAAGACCATATATGTTTATATACATTCATATCCATCATCTAATCATGTGAAATACGTTGTAGTGATTTTACTTACGTATATGTGTATACAGCTTAGCCAAAAAAAGAAAAGTCTAACAAAACTGAAATCGCGCTTTTAAGATGAGTACAACTGTGGGATTTTACAAAAACTTTTAAAATAAAAATTTATTAACAGTTTTACTTTACATCATGGATTTTAAATTCTTTTTCAATTTTCCTAAAATCAGCTCTATCAATGTTGAATTAACTCTTTATAACAACGTACAATTCTTCTTTCATATCCTATAGATCTTATTCTCATTGAAACACTCCGACAGCTCTTTTTCAGCAAATTTTTCTAAAATTATTTCTCTAACTACCCTTAATTTTGTTTATTTGAAACTTAAGACAGTTGACATTTTGATTGATAATATTAGGAACTTTATACAGATTTTAGTGAAAAGATAGGGTTGATAAGATAAAATATGATCATATTTTTATAATTGTAAAATATTCAAGTTTTATGATAAATTAAGTTTAACATATTTTTTCCATTTTGGTTTATTATTTTAAGTAAATATAAAATCAAGAATTTCGTTCTGCACTTAATGTTCACAATATGAATGAAGAAAATAAACTTAGCGAGTATGAGAATACACAGAACTATTACCTTTGCCTTTTCGCTGGAAGGGGAACTTGATCTGATGGTAAGGTAGAAGAGGCTGATGTACTTCCTACTACAGCTGGAACAACAGTATTCGTCGGCGGTGGTGAAGGGGTAGCTATAGATGCAACGTTATTAGGCAACGCATCCAATGGCACTGTTACAACAATTGATTGTCTAGATGACTCTTTTGATACGGCTGTAGGCACAAAAAAAAATATAGTCATAAGATAAACAAAAGGTAATTAAAAAAATCACGGATTCATAACAAAATGAGGTGCTTTCAAGACAAAAGCATGTGTGATATAGTCCGCTTGTTTCTTGAGGTATGTTTGTGTTAAAGCGTGCTCAGAAGAAGTGAAATATTACGATTCTAATTCAAAAGATCCTTTATTAGGAGAAAAACATGTGATAAAGACACACCATCACCAAAGGCAGAAAAAATAGATAGTTCTTAAGACCTCACACTTAGTCACAAAAACACTTTTATCTTCAAATCGTTTCTTCATAATAAAATATTCTGTTACACATTGTTTCCTAATGAAAATTAGGTGTTATCTTTGAAGCAGCATTTTAACCATCTAATTGAGATAAGTTAATTCTTCTGATTGAGATAAGTTAATTCTTCTTTTCATATATTGATAAATGTATATAAATATTTTTCTAATATCTATTAAAACACACTTTAAATCTTCAGCCACTGTAAGGCCCAATGCAATTTATTTCAGAATTATTCCAAAAGAAAACTTATAAAACAGTTTTCAAAGACTCCTTCAAATAAAGAACCATTTTTTTTAAATTTTACTAAGCAATATTTGTTCCTTTTTTTTCTATTTTATTTTCACTGTGATATAACCATGAAATGCTTTGTTGAATGGGACGACTCTTTTCATTCTCTATTCTAAATTTTTTTCTGCTTTACCTGGCAATATTTAAATTAAGGCAATGGAAAGCCTAAAAATTTAGTCTTAGTTAAAACTTCAAAGAAAAATTGTTAGTAACATAATAAATAAACAAAAATAATCAGAGCAAAACAATAACCAGGAAAAAGATGATCCTGGTCCTGGAAGTGATTTAATAACAATATCCAAAAATATTATAACTATTTAATAAATTCTGAGGTTTCAGTTCACATTACAGGCTTCCATCAGCTTCAGGACAAATCATCAAACCCACTTGCCCTGGAGAAGGGAATAAATGCAAGCCGAAACATTAGAATTTGAAATAGTTTCTACTATTCTTTTTTTTTTTTTTTAATATTATTCCTCATCACCAAACCATCTTCTTTTTAATTGTAAATAATTTTATTTAAAAAATAGATATTTTATTCCTTAATATTTTTTTTTTTTTTTAATACAATCTATAAGAGACATAGATTAAGTGGAAAAGTTTTACATTAAATTAGTGTTGCTCTTTATTACTCAATCAGATATATTTAATATTATATTATTATTAATCAGATATATTATTAATTTATATACTGTAGGCAGGAATACATCCGATACACCTCGGGCATGAAATCAATTTTGAAGATTATAAATTTTCATTTAAGTAATAACCAATTAATAAATAAGTTAAACAAACCATGTGTTTATAAGCGCCCAATGAAAAAATCTAGAACTCTCTCATAACAGCTACTAGACTACTATTGTTACGTACAGCCTTTTGTCTATGACCATTCATTCATATATAACAAAAAAAAATTGTTTTTTTTAATTTTTGCTATGAACTGAATTTTATTAGGAACTAGGTATTAAAATAAGATAGTTATAGCTATTTTAGTTTTTTATAACTCAATGAATCAAACTTAAAAATAATGTTAAAATTGAAGTGTGTATTAATATTATGTAGGAGCAACAGCAACAATAGTGAAATAGTTGCAAAACAAACGTGCCATTTTGAAGTTGGATATAGGCTGTTATGTATCATACCATGCTGAGGAGGAATTGGTGGTGTGGCAACGGGTGGGGGAACTGCCGTGGTTCCTAGTCTAGTACTGCTACCAGGGCTAGAAGGACGTGAGCTACTCTCGGGACTAGGAATTCCTACTGGAGGAGTTCTTGAGCCTCCTAGACACACAATAATAATAACAATTATAAATAAATAAATATGAATACTACAGAATTAATGAATTTGTAATATCCTAGACAACTTAATACTGACAAAAGGTGAAATTAATAACTTTATACCCACCTTACAAAATAAGATTAACTGATTATGAGATATATAAAAATAAGAAACCATTTTCATTATACACAGACAGTAATCGTTTAAGGAGATTGTAACGACAAATTCAAGATATAATAAAATATTTTAAGAGGACTAAGCTGACAAGCGAATAATATAGACATAAGATCACCCTGTACTTTCAATTCGAGAAGAAAAACATAGCTATAAAATTTCAAAAAAGCTAATGTGCTTTAACATTCACTTATAAATTGGCTCATGACCTATATAAAAGATGCCAATCTATAAACTTCAGTTATCTATGACCAGCCTTCCTAATGGATTTTAAAGTTGGGTAATTTTATCAGTGAGAGCCTTACATCTAAATAATTCGAAATGATGAAAGGTTAACTCACCTTTCCTTCTTTTGTTTCCAATTTTACTCCCTTCGCCTTCCAATCCTCCAACAGCCCCAGCTTTGTCATCATCGCCACCACCAACACCAATCTCTGCATCACCAGTAGTATTAGCTGTTTTACCACTTTTACTTGAACCTGCACCTGATTAAATTAGCTTTTAACTTCAAAATAGAAAACAGATTATACATGAAAATGTTCTTTAGTAAATAATTTTATATTCTACATTTCTTCGGGAATGCTAACTAAATATATTTAATTTGAACTTCCCACATCACAGTACAAACTAGTATGATTTTGTGATCTTTAGTTTTGAGCAATAAATCAATACAAATTTGCCACTGATCTAGCAGTTTTAAGTTAACTAATGGAAAATCAGCAACATAATTGCTATCCTCATCATTGTATGAAAATTTTTGTGTGGTTTGAAATATTTTTGTATACAATCAAATAATGAGAGTATCAGAAACTACAGAACAGGTCGGAATAAGTTATGTAATCTGTCCAGTGATCGAGACAAACAATATTTCTGTAAAGTGTGTGCCAGATCCAGATGGGCCCCTCACCTTTTGACCAAAAATCAGACGTTAAGACTTCTGCAAGCTGCTGAACGAGGCCAGAGATGCATATCGCTGAACAAGAGGCAACAGATCAATTTCCGAGGTCATCCTCCCCCACAACAACACCAACACCAAGCACCATCAAACTACAGAAAATTTATTAGACTCAACTTGATCATCCTCCTTACAGCCTAGACCTATTGCTCTGCAACTTCCATTTGTTTATACCACTCAAAGAAGCTCTAGGAAGGCAACAATTTAAAGATGGCGAGGGAGTGGAGAGATTTGTGCACAATATTTCAGAACCAGAAAACTGTGGAAAAATAAATTTCAAATGTCCTTTGTTTTTCAATAAATGAATATTAAAAAAAAAAATCTCATATCAAATAAATTTGATTTCCCCATAGGTTTTTTTGTTCAAACATTGAGCCTATGATCTACTATTTATATTAATGCTAAAAGTGGTGACCCCGAAGTGCTGGACAAATTCAGACAAAGATCATTCAATTCAAGTGATCTTTAGAAGATGTCATTGAAGGGACAGGAGACCCTGCTAAGTCATATAGCTGTTAAAATCCTCCTATTTTGTAATTGGGCGCCGATCTGTAGTGCAGGCAAATCGAATCACAGTTCAAGCTCACAAAAATTACTAATAAAACTAGTCAGATTTTGGTGTGATTGAATAGTGCAGATTTTACTAATACCAACTTTAAAATCCTATTTCATGGAAAGCTTTAAATATTTTAGAAATATAGCTGGAAGACTTTTAGCTTAGTTAAAAATTCCTTAAGGCCAACAGTTGATAACAAATTGTTACTTTCTTCAGACATTTATAATTTAAATTATTAACACCAAAATGATTTAGAGCATTGTTTTTTCTTCTCAAAATTTATAAATCATGTAAATAAAGATATCTAACAACCTAAATTATTTCTGTTTAACTTAAAATTTAGTTCAGATACACTAACTAACAGACAGAATAAAACTTTTTTGAATAAAAAGACTTAAAGAAAATTTAAGATCATTCTCACTTAGTTTTCTTTTTGATGTAGTTTTCGTTGGTTCTGTTTCTTTCACAGGCGAACCTTCAGGAGAATCGTTCGCACCAACAGGACGATAAGGAGGGATAACTTTCACATTACCTCCTTTTTTCTGTAAACATAATAGAATTAAGAATACAATTTAAAATTTGTGACAAATTCACAAGAAGAAAATATAAGAGCCCACAAGATGTAGACTTCTTGCAGCAGGGCTTCATGGCGTGTACTGTTTGAATGGTTTTAGTGAATACATTCCTACCCACTATTACGAACTAAATAAATAATGCCTACATTCCATCACTTAAAATCACATGCATATAACTCTAAGTAATGTACAACACTGCTGTTGAAATACCTGCACATTTCAATTCAAATGAACATATGAAGGTCTGTAGTCCGTGGTCTGTAGAACAGAACCCTTATTATTAAAATCTATCTAAAATTTCTTGAATATCTACATCTTATCATAAGCTGTAACCTTGTTATTTACAAAAATTCTCGGAAATGGGGAGGTTTATAATAAAATTATTTATGTAATATGGTAATATGATCACGAAATCGAGAAAAACGATCGCCTACATATTAAAATATAGGGCCACTTGGCCTATATAACATCTTTATTTTGACATGTTGGAGGGTGAAGGTCACACTAAACGGCCCAATATTTTTATAATTCACATTTTTTCGCAATTGTGTGATCAAATTATGTTACGATTCAAGTGAAATGCAAAGGAGTGTTCATGAGTTTTTAGTACCTCATTAAAATACAGGCAAAGACAAAATTTAGTAATTTCAAGATTTAAAATGCTATATTTCCGGGAATTTTTAAGTTTTAGATGAATGTTAATAGTTTAACAAAAAGGGGTCTGTATCATGGGCTAATATATTTATATAAAAGGAGACTTTGGTTCAGAAGTATAATCAACAATGAAACACACACATAAGTGTGAAAACTTATTTTCTTAATATGTGGTTATATTTAGACTTGATGTAGGCCTCCACCAGGATTAACATTCATGATTGTTCATGGATTAAACAACCATGAGTGTTAAGTTGGGTTATATATAAATGAACTCAATCAACTTTAATCATGCAAAAAGAAACACAAACAATTCATATTCAGTCTGTAGTTCAGTTCGAATTAAACATGTTGTAAAGGTTATTTGGGAAGAAACTTAGTTGAAAACATTTATCAGAGTTAGGTAGTGGTGTGGTGGGGAACCGATTTAATCAGGTACTGGGAAATACCGAGCTGGGGGCTACTTAGGGTATCAGGTAATAAGGTCACTTAAATACTGAATACCCAGTATCGGGTAATAAAGTAATTCCAATATTGGGTACTTAGACATGATACTGGGTAATAAGGCCAGTCGATCAAATAGTATCTGAACCCAGTAACATGTGATAAGGTAAGGAAATCTTTACCAATGGAAGATTAGCCCAAAATAACTGGTTGAAAATACCAAGTATCAAAAATACAGCCAGCTAAGCCAGTTTACCAAATAGAACGCTGTATCCATACTATGTAAGATTAGTCAAGTACGCTTATTACCAGGTACTATTTGAACTTTGTTGTGTACCAAGTAAAAAGATCACTCAAGCACTGGGTACTCGGAACCAGTATACTTGGTCTGGAAACAAACAAACCAGCTACTTGGTATTAGTGTATTGGTATTACTATTAGTGTTTTAGGTTATAGGTAAGTGAAAATTATGTATTAATTTGTCATGTATATAATGGAATGATTAATTGTATTGTAGTTGTGTCAACAATGGCTCAAGTAAGAAATGTGAATTATTAGCAATAATTAATAAATTGTTAAACTTTATAAAAACATGGAGATTAAGATATGAAAAGATATGTATGTATACAAATTGAGGAATGCAAGAAATGAAATACGTCTAAAACATACACAATCTTGTAGATGGAAAAAAAGAAAAATGGATAAAAACAACAATCTCTTATTCTTTATGCATCACCTCACAGTTCTATAACTAAAGTGATACTGAATCTTTCCATTTCATAAATAATACAGAAAAAATAAAATAAAATAATGGTAAATGAAAAGAAAAATTATCCTTGTTACATGATACATAATTAACCAGCATCTGGTTGGATAGTGAAGAGGAATGGGAATAAGAGGGTTTTGAATGTAGAGATAAGGATGGTGCATGGCAGATTTTAGGTGGGATGGAATTCCAAAAGTTGGAGGAGAGGACAATAAAGGAATGTTGAAATGAAGCAGATCTATGGAAAGGGGTGTACAGGTCAGAAGGCCGAGATCTTGTGGAGAGGGAGTGGACAGATTTAAATTGGAGGAGATTGTATGCATGATTGTTGATTATTTGATGAAGGAATGTGCCAAGGAAGTTTTGTCTTCTGAAGGAGGGGAAGAGCCACCCTAGCTGGGCATAGTAGTGAGAAACACGGGAACGTCTCGGGGTCCCTTCAACAAATCTTATTAAGCTATTCATAATTCTTTTTAGTCTGTCCCTGAGAGACCGCCGTAGTCAAGGGAGGATACAAGGAGTCTTCGTGTGGGTATAGGAAGATGGCGAAAGCGATGGAATAGTTTAAGGATACAAATTGACAGTCGAGAGATGTGGACCACATGGTGATTCCAGGAGAGGGTTTGGTCAATGATAATGGCTAGGTTTTTAATTGAGAAGCTGAAGATGTCAGTTTATATATACATATATATATATTATTACCTTAAAGGTAATATACTCAAATAAATAAATAAATATAACCCACTTAATATAATAAACTTTGGGGGCATTACCAGCCTCTGACACTTGTCAGTCAGGGACAGACATAATGTATTTGGAAAAAGATGTATTTTTTTATTGTTTGTTGGATTACCCTGTCATTAAGTTTAACTGGGAATGGGAGGACATAATACCAACATATTAACCTGTCAGAGCATCAAACTGAAATTCCCTGGTTGTACTAATGAGAGAATAACTATATGATTCAACAATTATAATTTTACTCTTAACAAATAGTATCCAAGAGAAAATATTAAAAAATTCAAATTAATTATCCTTTCAGAGGAATAAAACAAAAAAGGGAAGAGTGAAGATAGATTCAACAGAACACACATTAAGGAATGTAGAACTTATACAGAAGCACTCACAAGTTTAGTGTAATGATGATGACAATATCCACAGTATTTAACATTCTCCATGTAATTAGAAGCCTCTTCACAAAGTAAACCAAGGCCTTGTGCGCAAGTGACATGAAACTGTTGCCTGCAACCAGCTTTATTACACTGCATACAAGCACCGACATTCGCTCGGGATCGGCTTCTCTCTTCGCAAATATAACATGTCTAAAAAACAAGAATATAAAATTTATAATTTTAACATATTTTGAATAACATTTAACATACCTGACATAAATTGAAAATGATAAATATTTAATTCTTTAGCTCTGATAAAATCGGTCATAATTGATAAAATGTATTTAGACTATGCTGAATATATATATATATATATATATATATATATATATATTGTAATGTCAACATTACATGGTATATAAATAGTGGCGCGAAAGTGGCAAGAACATGAACTACAGGAAAGAAGTGGGGGAAGCAAGCTCATGGGACGCAGACTGCGACGGGCCGCCAAGAGGGAAGGTGCTAGCGGCTAAGAGAGAAGATCATGAGCCGTCAAGAGAAGATGTGACAAGCTGTCAAGAGGGAAGCCAGCAAGCTGAGAAAATGGAAAGAGCCACAAAGTTTAGACTGGGACAGTAAAGGTTTTGAAATGTATAATTTCTTATTGTATGTATCTCGTTTCATATATGTATTTATTAATTCGTAAATTATAGTTATTAAATGTTGAATGAGTGTTCAGGTGTCAGAACCCAACCTGAGATGTATATTATGTGTTAAAATAAATAGATATTCAAAAAGAAACTCGTTTGTTTTGTTTTCGTTGACAAAGGGAACGTTACAACATGGCGCCCAACGTGGGGCTTTTAAAAACGTACCTAGTCACGACAACTGAACACGCAATCTTTGTTAATTTTAATTTTATTTTTTTTGTTAATAATTTTTTAGTAATATGGAGAATAAGCAGAGAGAGAAGGTAGAGATCTTAATAATATAAGTCTTAGAAAATCTAATGGGAATGTTGTTAGTGTAGAAAGTAAGAGTCAGTTGTACAAAGCCTACTTGATGAAAATAGACAGTGTGAAAACGGAAGTGAAAGTCTGTTGGGATTAAATAAAATATATTAGTTTAGTGAAAATAATATGGAGGGTGAAAAAATAGATATAAATAGTAGCAACAATTTCAGTTGTGCTGATGTGCGTGGTATGCTTCAACAAATAATTACTGTTCTTCATGAGATTGAAAACAAGCAAACCCAAATGATTGCAAATATGACTGGAGTCCAAGAAACTACACTGGATGAAAAAAGCTCTAATAATGAACAGGAAATTTTGAAACAAGATTGTGATAACCTAGAAACCCAAATTATTGCAAATATAACTGAAGTTCAAGAAACTAAACTGGCTGAGAAAACTACTATTGGTCACTCAGAAAGTGATGAGAAGCAAATTGTTACTGAAGAGCTTAGCAAAATTAATTCTTCAATTGATATTGAATCAGAAAATCTCTTAATTAAAGATGAAGAAACCCTTGAAGAAAAATTAGTGACAACAGAATTTCTAGTAGAAACTCATACAGTTAATCTTATAGATATTAAGAAAGAACTTCTCAAGTTTCAAATTGAGTTCATAGGAGTAAAAGCCAGCAGTGAAAAGCATGGTAGTTATTTTATTTCAGAAGTTCCTTTAATTCCAGAAAAGTTAACTCTACGATTTAAAGATGAGTTAGGAAAGTTTGATGACTGGAGTAAGAAAAGAACAGGATTATATGAAGTGTCGTTCCATGGACTTACTAAGTATAATTTTGAGTGTAATAGATTACCAGTCATACTACTTATTCTAGAATATGAGTTTTATGGGGGTTATATGATTCTGGATCATGTTAGGACAGGTCGCTCATTATGTTATAGTGAGACACGGTAGTCTTTATCATATCCAGAGGATAAAAAAGGGTTTTAAATTAGCGTCCCTTCCGTTGACGAGCTAGAGAGAGGGTCCTGGCGAAACCATCGTCAGGTTACCCATTCTGGATACTTGTAAATAATAAACTTGTAAATATGATTTTGTAAATAGTCTAATTACATTGTTGGTAGATAGGATAATAGATTAATATATAAAAGTTAAATAAGTTGTTTTGGCCGGATATTGCTAGGTAAAATCCATATTTTAGAAGAAAGTTAAAAATTGTCTTAATTAATTAGTGTCTTCTCTCTGATTATTCCTATAATGCAAGTTAAAATATATTTTTGAATGTTATATAAGTATTTTAAACAGTTAATTTGTAAGTTAACTATACATAAGATATGGGAATTGTACGGTAAAATTCTTTTGGTAAATATTGTATTTAGCTTATTTTATTATTTTTATATCAATCTATGTTTCCTGTACATAAATTAGATGAACAAGTTAAGTAATTACTGTATGTAGATTAAGGTAATATAGTGTAAATAATTCAATAATTTTGTATATAAAATTGTAAATGTTTGATAACCAGGTTGGGAAATGTATTTTAAAAAGTGTGAATGTCAAAAGTTAAATTTATTATTTTATATGAAAAAAAAAAAAAATGTAAATATTGCACCGAATTTTAAATTTCCATTTTTATTTTTTTTTAAACTGGAACGGAGGAGAAATGTAATGTCAACATTACATGGTATATAAATAGTGGCGCGAAAGTGGCAAGAACGTGAACTACAGGAAAGAAGTGGGGGAAGCAAGCTCATGGGACGGAGACTGCGACGGGCCGCCAAGAGGGAAGGTGCTAGCGGCTAAGAGAGAAGATCATGAGCCGTCAAGAGAAGATGTGACAAGCTGTCAAGAGGGAAGCCAGCAAGCTGAGAAAATGGAAAGAGCCACAAAGTTTAGACTGGGACAGTAAAGGTTTTTAAATGTATAATTTCTTATTGTATGTATCTCGTTTCTTATATGTATTTATTAATTCGTAAATTATAGTTATTAAATGTTGAATGAGTGTTCAGGTGTCAGAACCCAACCTGAGATGTATATTATGTGTTAAAATAAATAGATATTCAAAAAGAAACTCGTTTGTTTTGTTTTCGTTGACAAAGGGAACGTTACAATATATATATATATATATATATATATATATATATATATATATATAAAGTATAAATAATTGTTACTCATAATATAACTTTTATATGAACTAGAGAAATGCTCTCCATGGGTTGAAAGTTGAGTCCAATTTATATTATTTAAAATTAAGTATAAGATGGCTTATACGCTGATTATTTTTAAGTTTAAAGTTTGAGCTATAAAATATAAAAATAAATACATTAAAATTTAATGCTGGCAAATTACTAGAATATTACGGAACAAAATCATTAGGTTCTCAAAAGTATATAACTGACAAGTCAATGTTTCGCCATTTCAGACCAGAAAAGGCTAACCCAATAGAGAAAGCACACCATTCAAAAGTACTTCAGGACAGTGAAATTATTATAAAAAATGGAAGTTACCTGGTACCTAAAGAGGTTACTTTTGATTTTCCCTTTCATACTATGCATGAGATATAAAAGGTGTATCACAAACAGATAACATTATTCATCAAGGGATGAAAAGCCCTACTTCGGAGGATAAAGAAATAGTAATTATTTATTCCTAAAATGCTTTTTAATTTTTGAAGAAAAAAAAAAATCTAACCATAGATTCACATTCCACCTTCAATTTTCTATTAAGAGACAATGACTGACACAAAAGTTTTCAATTTTATCCTAAAAAAAAATGATATATTGTTTTAACGCTAAAAACCATTTTTGTGAGGAAATATGGGAGCCATGAAAAATTTTTAATTTGAGTTTTAAATGGAAATACACAAAAAATCCATTCTTTGAGTTCAAATAAGCATCTGACAAATTATTATGATCTCTGATGATAAAATCAAGGGATAGGGATGGCCGAGTGGGCTAAGGCATGTGCACAGTACCGCACTTAGCTCTCTAATCTGATTATCGAAATTACAGATGAAAAAGTAATTACGAGTTGAAATCCTGGAGCATAATTTCCCTATTCTCTACACCGGTCCGGGAAAACACTGTGCATCCTAACTGGTAAGGAAGGAGAGACCAAAAAAAAGATGATAAGATCAAGTTTGTGAAAATTGAAAAACTACGAAAAAAAATTTTTTTTAATTTTCTTAAATTTTTACCCTTATGGACCAATTATAGAACATATTGTATTATCATCAAAACATAACAGCATAGAAAGATTTTTGGTAACCAATCAATGTTACGGAAATGCATTTTCAAATACAAAATTTGTATGTAATCATCATTATTCCTTGTTTTCAACACTTAGATCAAGATCCAGAGAACGTGAGCACTATCTTGGCTACTCTAAAGGTACATACAAACCTATTCTAACAAGAGCGGAAAGGCTGAGACTCATTTTGTGGGTTCACTACAATATAAATTTCCACCTCTCCTTTCCAACTACAGGCCAGATTCGAATCAAATACCCACAAGATTTGAGATTATTAAAATGGACAATGTAAACAGGAAAATCATCTCCCCAGTGGTACTCACCATGTACAAGAAAGTCATTTCTCAATAAAACTATGGAAAGTTATGAAGTGTATATATTTTGAGAATCCAAAGCACCTAAGACCTAAGCCCCATCACACGCACACGGCCAAACCAAATAAAGAAACGATTGAGGCGTTCAGTTGGGAAATATTAGTGCATGCGACCAGACTTGGCTCTGCCTGCCTACTATTTATTTACATCAATGGGGTACGCACAAGTTCAGCACCACTTCACTTCTTATGAAAATGAGGCTTGACAACTGGTTTGGCACATATGAGCAACAGTTTTTTTGGCATGCCATTCATTAATAGCAAGAGTGATTGGGAAAATGCACAGCTAGTAATGGACAAGCCTAATTAACCATATGGAGACTACAAATCCTGATTATCTGTCATAATCATTATTAATATTTGATGATACTATGAGATGTGTGATTTGTTAAAATGAAAAATCAGAACTTCATTTTTTACATTACATTACATATTACTTATATATTTCTATTTTATGATATTTTGATGATAAACATTATGCATATATTACTAACAAGGTGCTTTTCATTTTGCAAGCTTATCTAAATTTTGAAACAGGTTTACCAAAGATAGTTGCTTTACCTTTGAAATTTGCATACAACCTACCAGAAAAATCAAAATTACCTCGTCCCGGAAGGTAAAAATATACCACTTTACTGCCTTTCTTTCTAGGATGCTTTAGTTGCAGAATTAAACTATTTAAATAAATCTTTTTATTGAATTTTATCCTTAACTTAACCATTGGAAATTATAATTACAATTAATCTTGTTTTAATAGTTAATTATTACTAATAAGGATGACACGAGTTACAGCATTAAATATCATTAAGTTTCAGTCTCACATTTCAAACATTTTTATTACACAAAAATTAGTTCTTTAATTAAAATATTTTGTAACAAATTTAAAATAAATCAGAAAATTTTAAATTTGAGGTTGAATTTAAATATAGTTATAAATAAAATCACATACCTTATTATACCTCTCTTGAGGAATTTGTGCAAGAATGATAGGTTCCATTGTCGTAACATTACCAAACCTGACTTCAGGGATATATAAAGCACAGACGACATGAGCCCATGCATTATTGTCTGTTGGTTTCAAGGCACCTTCTTTATTAGGACACAGTTCACATCTCTAAAATTTATATTGATATTAATTATATGATATATTTCGAAGATATACAATTTTTTATCATTTTTTTATTACCACTTTGACAGATCGCTCCTGAGATTCACATTTCCTGCAATACCAATTTCCAATGGGTACTGTCACAATTCCATAGCAAGCTAAAATATAATTAATTAAAATTAAATTATAGAAATAATGATTTAAGGTAGTTATGTATTACTCTATTATTACAGGAGTATTGCTTTGAGACTGTTAAAATACCAAAGAAAACTCTATTACCAGTGAGCCTGTCAACAACAACTATGAAACAAGGAAAAATAGGTTTTAATGAGTACACAAAGACAATTTGCATTATTTTGAAAATTAGAAATCCATACACAAAAAGTTAACGTATGGTATAAAGTGATTTAATTGATAATTACCACATGTATAAAATAGAGAAAATAATTAATTTCTCAGTAATTCTAAAATTGCAAAAAAGATAGTTTCCGTTAATTAGGTTGTTGAACAAAAAAATACATTAATCTCAAATATATGTTTCACTAATGTGGATAGAACAATTATCAAAGTTTAATAAATGTACCGAGCAAATAGTTAAATCTCGGGGTATGTAACAACTAACTTAGAGTGAAACGTCTCAATAACTTTGATCACAACAAACCTGTTAAAGTATAAATTTATTGTTGTTAATATTGCTTCTGTACTAATTTTTACTATTTAAATCTTACTTCTATTCTATCTAATCCATTCTTATTTTAATGAACTAGTTCTACCAAATGTACTTAGTAAATAAATTAAAATATTTATAGTATTTTTGTCTGACTGTTATATATAATTTCCAGGATTGAAATTAGTCGATTAAAAATTAGAAATTCACAAACAAATCTGTTACACAAACAAAGTTGACTTATAATTACGTCAATCAAAGAACTGCCAAAACAATGGAATATATATTCTTTAAACATTGAAGTTTACAACCTCAAAGGTAATTCAGCTAATCTTGGCTGAATATAAATATAATTGTGTTTGTAAAATAAATGCTTAATTTCAAATTTATCAGCAAAAGTACAAAATACAAAAATATAATAGTATTTACAAACTTTTAATTTTTACGATAAGAATAGCACTAAGATGAAGTCGAGAAATGATACGTTTGATGAAAGCAAAGCTGAATGTTGGTACACTCCAAAAAATTGTAAAGTAAGGAACATTTAATTGAGCTGAGAGACTCTAATAATACTAACTAAATCTATTAAATATGTCCAGTTATTTGGTTACACTAAATTAAATATTACAATGAAATCTTTTTGTGGAGGTAATCAAATCTTAATTGCAACGAGAACACAACCCACAATAATATATTTCTCATTTGACTCATTTAAATGGGTTTCCAATTATATAAAAAATAATCTATTAATAGAGTATCTAAACATCATCCCATTGCAGCTATTAGAGTGCCAACACATCGCCCTAATCTAACAGAAATTGAAGACAAATAGATGTTTCTTATTGAATTTGTCAAGAAGAGAAATAACTAACAGAACTAAACACTGAACCAAATAGAACTACACAATAGTAAGTAATATTAATTAAATTTAAACTCTATCAAAAATGGTTGAAATTCTGAGATGATGCTTTTGACCGTGAAAGATTGATATTGGAAAATCAGGAAGAGGATCAGAACATTGGAAAAAACAATGTGGAGTAATCAATATGCACAACTATAAATAAACTAAGGTAGATATCAACAATATATATGAAAAATAACTTGAAACAACATTGAGAACTTATTTTATATTATGCAAATTTTATAACCTTCTTTCTGAAAAAAAAATAATAGCCACCTTTTTAAGACTAAGATTTCAGCATCAGCATTAAGATGCATTTATGAATCTCTAAAATTGACACTTCTAGTTTAAAAAACAGACATTTAAGAAAACCATCACATCAATGAGACTATCAATGGGAGTAAAGACCTTTTAAAGAAACATACATCAAACATATCTCTAAACAGAGAGTATTGAACTTGACCAGGGAAAAATTAATACTGACTGCTATATTTCAATACTTTCAATCAGTAATTGAGTGAAACTAAAAATATGAATATTTGTAATTTACAGGAGAGGTTAGATAAGCAAACAAAATGGCGGGTAAAACTCTAAAGTAAATTATGAATTGACAAATTGTTAGTTATGAATTACCTTGATGTACTGCAACAGTGCATCCCTGTCCATCACAATATACTAGTGGGTTTTCGGCCCACCCCCGATCATCAGAACAAACGCAACACCCTCCGACCATTTCCTTCATTCTTGTCCACAAGGCCTATATTAACCAACAGACTCCTTGGAATGGTGCCTTTTCCGCGTGCGGCTCATTTTGAAAGTCTTTGTTTCACCTCAGTAGTTCCATTTAATTCATTTCTTCAAAAAATTCGGCGACCTTCTTCCGTTACGACCCCCGAACGCTGATAATTCCACTACGCGTGAGAAACGCTCTACACTACTGACCTGTACTAAAAACAAAGTTTACACAGTGTTGCCAAAGGCCAATGCCCGGAGGGAAAACATACGTATGCAATATTTCACTAGTTATTTCAATTCTACGCAGTACGTTATTTTATTATTAGAAAACTAGATATACATAAACTAATCATAAAATATTTTGGTGGTAAATAAAATCCGATTTTTTGAATTAATTTTTTTTTAATCCCAGTTCCAATGTAAACACTCAAGTTTATCAATTACGACCGTTCACTACTAAATACCACTTGAAGAGCTCTTTATTATGTGGCTAAATAACATAAACCATTGAAACCTAACTTCAAGGTACCAACCCATTCGATTTGAAAATCAACATTTCAGAGATAGCTCTGATAACAAAACCATGTGGCCGGTTTTCACGCAGGAAGGTAATAAACAAGAAAACTATAATTATAGGTATGTTTCTTTATCAGTATCTGACGTAAAACGGCTTAAATATAATCTTTAGATATTATATCAACAGAATGAATCCCTCATTTAAAAATAATTCTTATCATTGGCTGCTTGTTTATTATCATTTCTCCCATCACTCTAATGTGAACTGAAGATAAAATTTATTGAATGTGTTTACATTTTTTTTTTTTTTAAGATGATATACACAATCACATTCTATTGGATTTCTCACTTTTCAGCCTCATCAATTTTGATCATCCTTCTCATAATACAATGTATACAGAAAACATTGTTGGCAATACAACTGAAATTCCTCAATCTTTACTTGTTATAGATAATCACAACATAGAAACAAAGCCACCCCAACTACAATTACTTACACCTCCTTTAAGGTACCTATATCCCTCACACACTTTATCAACTGTTAACTTTAACTGTAATTGTCGTTTGTTTTTCTTTCTATTCCAGCTGCGGTGATTTAAACATTCCTAATGGAACCGTTGTGCCTCCTGATCTACCAAAAATGTTTCTAGACTTATTAGTACCTGTTCAAGGGGTAAAATTTCTATATATACACTTGTTTTATGAGTAATCATTTTAAAGATTCAATAAAAATGTATCTAGAGCTAAGCTCTTTGTCATTTGTTATTGATTGTCTTGGATGTAGAAAATTTCATACAATATAATAGTTGATAGATACATCAATAAAAATTAGCATGAATGTTTATACATTTAGCATTGCTTTTATTTTCAGCTTAAGAGTAAGAAGTTACCTTATGATTGTTCGTTATGCGGGGATAGATTCGCAACTTGGAATTCACTTGTAACACATAACAAATCTCATCGCCGCCCAGCGTGCTTGGCTTGTGGCACTATTTTACCTTCTGCCTCAAAACTCACTTCTCATAAAGCCTATTGTCAAGGGAATTCGGATGCAGTTGTTATTACTTCAAAATATGGTAGATCTCGACCTGTTAAAAGTTACCTTGCTAAGTTAACTTGAAATGAATTATTTTTTTTTTTTTAAAGTATATTTTCTTCTTTTTTTTCCTTTATGGAGCTTATGTTTGATTTGATCTTAGAAGTGATAACCATATTCAAATGAAGTAAATTTAAATTTTTGGGTTAGTCAAAACTTTTTTTGTAACGTTCTGTCACTAAATTAGTATAATTGTGAAGAAAGTATAGTTTTAACTTGTTAAAACATGTTTTGTGAATTGATAACATCGATTATTATCAAATCCAGTAAAAGTTTTAACAATTCAATTTTAGATAATAATGATTGGATAGCTTGCAAAATCAATAAATAGTGATAGTGCTAATATGCACCCATGGATTAAATTATCCGACTAATGTTTGCTATTATGGTTTTTAATTAAATTATAAACATGCTTAAAAATCGTAAACAAACTTATAGATCAATGAATAAACCTAAAGCTCTTGGACGAAATTGATTATATTTGTCAGCAATCAAGGGTGGGTTACCAAAACCAGATAAACCTATAATTATTATTTTTTATGTTTTGAAATAGATAAGGATCGTTAAAGAAAACTAAACCTTACCCACTGTGTGGATGACAGTTTTTGATTTGTCTGGTTTTCTTATTAACCCTTAATTGTCTTTATTTTCTTTATCCTTAATAGTAAGCTATATATATACACTAAGAAGATATTTTATATGTTACCACAATTAAATGCTATTTGATATAGCAATCAAGGAAATTAAATGAAGTTACACTGAATTTATTTAAAGATTTTTTAAATTAATTTTTTGAGCATTTACATCAATTTTGTCGTTACCATTTTATTAATATAGTCATGGAGTAGTCATCTTAGTTGATTAGCTAGATATTTATGTTATAGCCTTGGAAATATATAAAAGTTTATTTATATGTTATGTTTAATTTTTTGGTTTTTATTGTAAGAATAGTTTATAACAGGTGATGTACCTGGATATTATTGTTTTTAGAAGGATTTGCTATTTTAGTTAGTTGTTTGGTTCACTTTTTTAGTCTACATTCCATGTTCCAAAGAAAAATAATTTTATATTACTTACCTTTGTTTAATACCATCATTTTATAACTAAACATGTTTGTGTTGTAAACTATTATGTTCCTTTTTTTTTTAAACCAAAATAATGGATTGTATAAGATAGGCCATTTATTGTTAGCTTTATTACATATAAGTAATCATTCCTGTTAGGCTAATGAAATCAAACCAAAGGAATTATAAAAATTAAGTACAAAAGGTGCCTTACTTTATCTCAGGAAATGAAACACTGTTCTGAGTAATTTTAAAGATATTTTTATTTTTTAACTCTTGAAAAAAGACTCTTTAAAATAATATCTTTTGGTATTATAGATGATATGTTAATGTGCCTTTTATTTGAACATTTGTCAGAACTAATTGACAGTTTTCATGAGAAATTTATATACATATATACTTTAAAAGTTATTAGTGGCTTTTATATATGAATACTTTCTTATATATTTTTTAAAAAAGTATATATTTTATTTGTTTATAATATATTTTTATATTTAATTTTTTCTTGATAACTTTATTTAGTTTTTTCCCCTCCAAGTTTTGCATTTTTCTGTCCTTTTTTGGAGGTATGAAGTTAGTTTGTTAGCCTTTATGATTCTTATTTATAATTTTCTTTATCCAGAAGATGTATTTCCTATGTTAAAAACAATACCTTAATATAAAATATTTCATATATTCGTTTATATCATCAAAGCATCAAATTTAATTTTAGTAATATTGTTATTCGAATTAAAGACTGATGAAAAAGGTGTTCATATTGTAATTAAGTTAAAATACAGGGATAAAAATATTTAACACAAAAGTTAGTGTAAACTGTTATATAAATTTATAAATTATTGTAAATAAAACAGTTTTTCTTTGTTATGCATAATTTATCCTTTTAAAATTTGTTAAATGTTTTGTTAATTTACATTTCATTGTTACTGATATGCTTCAACATTCTTAGTATAACTATTGGAGTTATTTAGTACATGATTCATTTATTAGTGAAGGAAAAATTGTCTATTAGTTATATAAATGATGATTAACAACACATTTGTATAATCCTCTATGAAACTTAAAATTATTATTATATAATAAAAGATAATACTTTTTTATTGTATTTTCCTACGTAATTTTGTGATTAAAAAGATGTACTGCATGATGTGCGAATAGAACAAGTTAAGTTCGTTCATAGTTCCATTAACTTCAGATTTTCAAATGTCACCTATTTTATCACTTGCTGTCCACCTAGTTTTTATATACTTATTATTAGGTATTGTGATTTTAATTAAAAACTTGTAATGAAATAGAAAGACATTTTTTACATCTTTAATACAGAATATTATTTTGACATTGTAAACGGTACTTTGACAATGAATCTTTTTTTTATTCGTTGATTAACATAGCCAATATTATCAAATTAAAATGAGGTTATTTTAATAAAGATTAGATATGGCTATTGAGAATAGATGATTTTTCTTTAAATACAAATTTTGAGTATTGATATTTACAGTATTGTTTTTATTTGAAATTATTAGGTATTTCATATATTTTATCCCTTTTATTAACATAACATGATTGATCATTATTTCAACATTTTTATTTCCTATTTTATCAATTCTTTTGTTATCCTTTTTCTTATTCTATGGCTCTTTTCTTTTTTCATTTTCTGTAATGTTTTTCTTAAAGTACTTAACACTGAATGAATAAAGAATTTACTATCCAGATCAATCCAACGTTAATATCAAATAAAATTATTCTGATACTCAAAATTGAAACAACTATAAACAATTAAGGTACAACTTGGCCCATAGTAAGCAGAACTTAACATTTTTAGGCATAGATTTATGCTAATGAGATTATTTAGACTATGTAAATTTTCTAGGCTTCGGGGATATTAGATAAATATTTTTCTTATGATTTTTTTTTAAATTTTTATTTATTTAGATATATAACAATCTGTCACATGGACAATAATTATAGTGATATATGATATAACACATTCATACCATATATACAGAAAATATAAAATTAACAAAAGTAAAATAATAATCAAAAACTATGTACAATAAAAAATAAAACAACCTAAAGATAAATAAATTAAAAACACAATCATACCTATATACAATCAGGCAGGGAACCCCAAGCCAGGCTTCTCCCTCCAACTATAGAAGGAAAAACGGGACTTCAAGAGATCCCTGCGCTACTCTCTCAACCGCGTCACTGCTGCTAAAGGCAGTGGAGTTTCAGCGAGAGCGCTTTAGCCACATGCACTCATGTCTTGAGTGAAGAATCTGGCCATTGCCAGAACTCCAAGATATATACTACCATAGATCTCTGGGCCACTGCCGCTTCAACTTTCAAGGAGGATTGTAGGGATGAGTGGAACTAGATAGGGACTGTGCTAGGGGATTTGGATGATTTGTAAGATTCTGATTGAATTTGAAAAAATTTTCAGGGTTAAGGTCGAGGACAAAAGGGATATTAAGGTCATGGTGTAGGGTTTTGTTGGTTACATAGAACGGAGCATCGACTATTGTTCAGAGGATGTTGAACTGAAAGGATTGGATGCATTTGATAGAATATTTAGCTGGCCCCCAAAGTTCAAGTCTGTAGGTCCAAATAGGTTTCAAGATTGTCTTGTATATCAGTAATTTGTTGTCAATTGAAAGTTGAGATTTTCTATTCAGTAGTCTGTATAATTGGCCGTATCGTCTGTTAAGTTCTTGTCTTTTAAATCTAGTATGTGGGTTCCACGTTAGTCTTTGGTCTAAGAGAAAGCCAAGATACCGGACTGTGTCTGAAAAAGGAAGCTGGATGGAATTAAAGTGGACTGGTGGATAGGATCTGCGCCAGAGGGTGAAGCTAATGTATTTGGATTTGTTTACTTTGATGCGCCATTTGTTGCACCAGTGCTCAATCAGAGAGATATGTCTTTGTAGATTTAAAGAAGCTATTTCGGGATCTGAGTTGGATGATACGGTGGCATTGTTTAATTCCTATGATTAAAGTTTTAATGTATAATAATAATAAAAATTGTAAAATAGGTACTGGTAAAATTAATATCAGTAAATATTTAAAGACACTGCAAAATACTCTTGATCAGTTCCTACGCTTTTCTTAATATTATTTTAATGTCTATTTTCACTTAATTTTATGTCTCACTGGTCAGTATGGTAAAAATCAAAATTAACTTTTGATAATTATTTATTGTACGTTTCGGGGAATTTGTGTGCCCCTCCCCAGCAATATTTTACGCTCCCAAAAAAAAATATTGGGTAAGTCAATATGATGTAATAAGTTTGGTTCAATGTCTGATTTTTTTGGAAGAATAAAATATTGTTGAGGAGAGGAACACAAATTCCACGAAATATAAAACAGATAATTGTCAGAAGTTAATTTCTATTTTTATTTTACTGACCTATAAGGCATGAACTTAAGTGTTAATAGACATTATAATATAAAGGTCAAACATTTTAAAAACTATGGAAAATATTATTTTAATTAGAAAAATACCAACTTATTAAGATAGCTACTTAAGATTAAATAATTTTTTTTTAAAGATGGATTATCTAGAAGCTATTTAATATGGTGTAAATCCCTGTGATCATTTTTTGCATCTGAGGAAGCCATCACAAGAACTCACTGTAATTTCAATGATTTTCAACATTATGCTGATTATTGAATATAAATGAATTACATATTCATAAAGACAATCCAGCTCTTTTCACTCTGTTATTTGTAATAATATAAATTTAAGGAGAATTGGTTATCAGCCAACTATCCCGAGTCAGGTGGAGGGGCTGTCTCCTCCGAGCGTCCTAACATGCTCCCCCATCCGGAGCGGTTACCTAGGAAAGGTGGCCCTGAGGTTTTCGCTGTAGAGTGTGTACTGTATGGGTGTCAGTGTACTGTTCCCCCAATCTGGAGGGCCAGTGGCTATCTGCGGTACTATGACCGGGCGATGGGGCCGCCACCTCCCTATACCAGGAAGAAATAG